CCTAGAATTCCACCCAGGTCTCCCATGGATATGTAGAGGCCCAGGAACTTGAGACTTCCAAGTAACCACAAGACACACCTGGCATCCCAGTCTTTTCTTTAAAAAGCACAGTAACAGAAAAAAAGAGAGGGGAGAGACACAGAAATTTTCCATTCACTGGTTCACTCCCTAAATGGTCACAATGGCCAGAGTCATACAGCTGAAGCCATAAGCCTGAACCTTGTTCTGGGTCTACCACATGTGCAGGGGCTCAAGCCCTCGAGCCATTCTCCGCTGCTTTCCCAGGCCATCAGTAGGGAAGTGGATGGAAAATGGAACAACTGGGACTCGAGCCAGAGCTCAGGTGGAATTCTGACACTGTAGGCAGCAGCTCTGTCTGCTACACCACAGAGCTGGACTCTACCTGCTCCTTAAGTGTCCCCTTTGTAAGTTGTCTTGGCCCTATTGCTGCCACCATGGCCACCAACGAGAGCAGGTTGTTAAAAACCAAGTATGCTGGGGCCAGCATTGTGGCCCAGCACATTAAGTCTCCACCTGTAATACCAGCATCCCACATTAGAGCTCCAGTTCAAGTCCTGGCTGCTCCCCTTCTAACTCATTTCCCTGCTAATGTGCCTGGAAACTGCAACAGAAGATGGTCCAAGTGCTTGGACCCCTGCTACCCAAATGAGAGACCTAGATGGAGTTCCAGGCTCCTGACCCAGACTAGGTTGTTGGGGTCAAATAAGCAATGAGCAAGACAATGAATGCTAATCCCATCCCGCCTCCTTCTCTCATTTGGTTTTGCCTACACTTATTTATTTATTTATTTTAAAAGATTTTTTATTTATTGCAAAGTCAGATTTACAGAGAGAAGGAGAGACAGAAAGATCTGTCTGTTGGTTCACTCCCCAAGTGGCCACAATGGCCTGAGCTGAGCCAATCCGAGGCCAGGAGCCTCTTCCAGGTCCCCCATGCAGGTGCAGGGTCCCAAGGCTTTGGACCATTTTCTATGGCTTTCCTAGGCCACAAGCAGGGAGCTGGATGGGAAGTGGGGCAGCTGGGACATGAATTGGTGCCCATATGGGATCCCAGTAAGGATTTATCCACTGAGCCATTGTACCAGGCCCAGGGTTCACCTTTCCAATAACGTAAATCTTAAAACAAAATGAAAATGAAAACCCTAAAACCAAAGTCTTCTGGTGCAGTGGGGCCAGACAGCTCCTGGAAGAGAGGGGGAATAAGGAGAGAGGAGAACCAACTAGTACTGATAGACCAAGTCCTTCATGATGTATTTTTAATTTTAAAAAGTGTATTGCAGATGTATGTGTGCTTAAAAACTAATATCCGAGTCCAAGCACAGGGCTCTGATTCCAGGGAAGATAAACACATTCCCCTGATCCACCACCACATAATGAGTTTGGTGATAAAAACTAAACTGAATTTGTTTCCATGCCAACATATGAATTTGCTCAAAAACAAAATTCGGTCCCCAGGAGGCTTTAGTCTTTCTGCTCTGTTGTGCACCTCCCAACATGGTACCTGCAGCTGGGATGACAAAAGGGCAGAGTAAGGCAGTGGATACTTCCTCATAGCTCCTCTGCTAAGAAACAGGTATTTTGCCTCAGTTTTAAAGATTTATTTATTTTTATTGGAAACTCAGATTTATAGAGAGCAGGAGAAAGATCTTCTGTCTGCTGGTTCATTCCTCAAGTGGCTGCAATGGCCAGTGTTGGGCCGTCCTTGACAGTTTTCCCAGGCCACAAGCAGGGAGCTGGATGGGAAGTGGTGCTGCTGGGATTAGAACCGGCGCCCATATGGGATCCCAGAGCATTCAAGGCAAGGACTTTAGCCACTTGGTTACTGTGCCAGGCACCCTTCCTCAGTTTTAAGTGCTGTCCACCTGCTGTTGCCACCAATGCCAATATACGGTCTACAGATTAGGATAGAAGAGAAAGAGAACAAAACCAATACCAAAATGGGAAATGCCTCTCTTCCATCTCTCCTCCAAAACCACACACACAGGAAAGAGAAATCTCATAGAGCTCTTTTTCTCCGTGACTGATTCACACTTCTAAGCCTTTGAATCCAGGCTGGGAAATACTATGAGGAAACAAGTACTATAAATGTCTCATGTAGTGGCTTAAGCCACTTGTGATGCTGGTGTATCATATTGGAGTACCAGTTGTAGCTGTGGTTGTTATACTTCTGCTTTCAAGCTCCCTGCTAAAGCGCCTGGGAAGGTAGTGGATGATGGCTCATCTAATTAATCCTGTGCCACCCATATCGGAGACCTGGATGGCATCCCAGAATTCCTGGCTCTGGTTGTTGTGATCGTTTGGCTAGTGAACCAACAGACAGAATGATTGCTCCCTCCCTTCCTTCATCATCCTGCTTTTCCATCAACTTGCAAATGCCAGGATCTCATATGGGCACCAATTCATGTCCCAGCTGCTCCACTTCCCTTCTGGCTCCCTGCTTGTAGCTGGGGAAACCAGTGGAGGATGGCCCAAAGCCTTGGACTCTGCACCCATGTACAAGACCTGGAGGAGGCTCCTGGCTCCTGGCTTCAGATCAGCTCAGCTCTGGCCATTATTGCCATTTGGAGAGTGAACCAGCAGATGGAAGATCCTTCTTTCGGTCTCTTCTTCTCTTTGTAAAATCTGCCTTTCAAATAAAAATAATAAATAAATCTTTTTAAAAAGAAACATAGAGGAAAGATACAGGATACTAAATTTAGGAATGAAAGAGGGTTTATTAATACAAATTCCCCCAAGACTTTAAGATTTATTTATTTCTATTTGAGAGGTGGATAGAGAGACAGAGACAGAGAAGGAGATGTAAAAAGATAAGGAAATAGAGAATCTTCCACCTGCCAGTTCACTACCCAAATGCCTACAACAGCAAATCCAGGATCTAGGAATTCCACCCAGGTTTCCTTTGTGGATGGCAGGAACTTGAGCCATCACTGCGGCCCCCAAGGATGCTCATTAGCACAAAGTTGGAGTCAGGCAGAGAGCCAGGCATTGAACACAGGCACTCTGGTGTGGGACATCAGCACCCTATCTTAACCATAAGGCTAAATGCCTGTCTTACCCCTAGGACATCAAAAGGTTCACATGTGAATATTATGAACAAACCACTGGATACACAGCAACTTAGATGAAATGGATTGGTTCTTTGAATGAACCAACAGATGAAAGATTTCTCTCTGTACAGTTATTTCCCTCTCTTTCTGTAGCTCTGCCTTCCAAATAAATAAAACCTTTTTTGAAAAAAAAAAAAAACAGAAAGATTAAAATGGCTCAATGTTGCAATGCTGTCCAAGAACAAATATAAGGTAATCTCAAAAAGGCATGAGAAAAAAAAGGATGGAAGTAAAAGATAAGTCTGTGGAGCCAGTGCTGAGACGTAGGGGGGTTAAGCCGCAATGCTGTCTTCCCACATGGGAGTGCCATTTCAGTCCCCGCTGATCCTCTTTCCACCCTGTTTCTTGTTGCCACACCTGGAAAGGCAGTGGAGGATGGCCCACATGCTTGGACCCCTGCCATTCATGTGGGAGACTCAATGGAGCTCCTGGCTCCTGGTTTCAGCCTGGCCCAGCCCTTATTGCAACAGGCATTTAGCAAGTGAGCCAGCAGGAAGAAGCTCACTTGCTCTCTCTGGTTCTCCCTCTGTTTCTCTGCCTTTCAAATAAATAAATAAATCCTTCATAAAAATAAGCAATTCCCTCCCATAATTCTGTATTATCTATATCAGCATCTTCTACTGGTTTTGTTTGTATCCAGCTCCCTGCTTGTGATCTGGGAGATCACTGGAGGATGGCCCAAAGCCTTGGCACCCTGCACCTACATGGGAGACTTGGAAGGAGCTCTTGGCTGGAGCTCAGTTCTGGTGATTGCAGCCACTGGGGAGTAAACCTACAGATGGAAGATCTGTTTTTCCTTCTCTCCATAAATCTGATCTGCCTTTTCAATAGAAATTAATAAATCTTTTTAAAAATAAACCTTTAAAACAATATATGAATTATTATATAAAGGTATTGCCATATGTGGCTAAGATTATCCCAGTATATTGAACTGTAATTTTGTGCCTTATCTATGTTAATTAACCTTTGATTAGAAGAAATACATTGTAATTATTTTAAAATATTTACTACTTAATAGGTGTAAAAGGACAAGTGTTCCTGACCTCTGCCAGTCATAAGCTCCCTTCCACAGTTTGGATATGGCTTGAGTGAAGTCCCCCAAAGATTCATGTGTTTGAAGTCTGATCCCTAATGTGGAGATATTAAGAAATGGTGGTAGGGCTCTAAGTGGTGGCCTAGCAGCTGAAGTCCTCATCTTGCATATGTTGGAATCCCATTTGAGTGCCAGTTTTAATCCTGGCAGCCCTGCTTCCCATCCAGCTCCCTTCTTGGCCCATAGCCTTGGGACTCAGTAGCCACATGGGAGACCTGAAGAGGTTCCGGGCTCATGGCTTCAGATCAGCTCCACTCCAGCCACTGTGGCCACTTGGGTAGTGAATCAGCAGACAGAAGATCTTCCTCTCCGTCTATCCTCCTCTCTGTATATCTGACTTTCCATTAAAAATATGATAAATCTTTTTTTTAATGGTGGTACCTTTAAGACAACTGATCTGGGCCCAGCACAGTAACATAGTAGCTAAAGTCCTTTCCTTGCAAGCACCAGAATTCCATATGGGTGCCGGTTCTAGGTTCTAATCCCGGTGGCTCTGCTTCCCATCCAAATCCCTGCTTGTGGCCTGGGAAAGCAGTCAAAGACAGTCCAAAGCCTTGGGACCTTGCACCCATGTGGGAAACATGGAGAAGGTGCTGGGCCCCTGGCTTCGGAATGGCTTAGCTCCAGCCATTGTGGCCACTGGGAAGTAAATCATTGGATAAAGATCTTCCTCTCTGTCTCTTCTCTCTGTATATCTGACTTTCCAATTAACAAGAAAATCTTTAAGGCACGTGACCTAACAGAAGGCTATTAGGTCACTGGGGGTATCACTCTTGGAAGGGTGATGTGGTTCTTACGGGACTCTGGCTCACTCCAGGAAAACTGGTTGCTACAAAAAGAACAAGACTAGGCATATCCTGTGTGCTGGCTTCCTGGCTCCTGTGCCTTAAGATGTCTCCCTTTCCCACCTGCTCCTATCACCAGACATATTGCTGATGTCACCAGACATATTGTGATGCAGCCAAGGGGGCCCACACTAGAGGCCAAATGGATAGAGCTACCTAGTCCTGGATTTTCTGCCCTCGAAACTGTGAGCTACACTAACCTCTTATATCTTATGCTTGCTTGTTTGTTTGAAAGGCAGAGAGAAGACACATACACACACAGACAAAGGTCAGAAAGACAGCACCTTTTGTACACTAGTTCACTCCCTCCAGAGCCCACAACACCTAGGGCTGAGCCAAGCTGAAACCAGGAACTCAATCCAATTCTCCTTGGTGTGTGACAGGGACTCAGCTACCATCATCTACTGCCCTTCAGAACAGCAGGGACTCGAACCCAGAAGTTTTGATATGTGAGGGTCCTAAGTGATGTCTTAATTACTGTGCCAAATATCTACCCTAGATAAACTCCTTCAAAAGCAGTTATGAGAAGAGTGTAGCAAACTACTAATACACCTAACATTGGATGAATCTCAAAAACATTTTTTGCTGTTGTTAGACATATAACTGTTCATAAAGAACTGTATTATTGCAATAATACAGGGGAACTTGAGGTGGGGAGAAGGAATTTGGGGAGGGGATAAGGGAAATCACAGGGCTTATGGAACTGTGTCATAAAATGCTAATAATTATAAAAAAAAAGTTTAAAAAAAATCAGTTGACCATAGGTACAAGGGTTTACATGTGGACTCTCCAGTTTAATTCCTTAAACTATGTCTATTCTTTTAGTATCATGTTCTCATGATTGCCAATGCTTTGTGGTAAATTTTGAAATCAGGAGGTGTGAGTCCTCCCATCATATTCCTCTTTCATAAGATTGCTTTTGCTGTCCTGGGTTTCTTGTAATTCCATTTGAGTTTTAGAATCAGCTTGTCAAATTCTACAAAGAAATCAGTTGGGATTTTGTGTATTTAGTCTGTAGATAATTTTGGAGAGTAGTGCCACATTAAGTCTTCTGAACCCTGAATCTGGGTATTTTTCTCCCCAGTTATTCAGATATTTTAAACCTTCTCTCAACAATGTCTTACAGTTGTCAGGTTATAAAACTTTGTTTCTCTAAATTTTTTAAAATATTTTATTCTTTGTGATGCTATTGTAAATAAAAATTATTTTTTTAAATTTTTGGATTGTTTGTCACAAGCATGTAGAAAAAAATGTCTCTTATTCACTTTTGCTGTGTAATTTACCTTGTTAGAACCTCCAATACAACATTGGGTAGAATTGATGGGAGTGGACATATTTGTGCTAATCTTAAGGGAAAACATCAACTTGATCACTATTGAATATATAGTGGTGCATTTTTCAGAGATAATCCTTTATCAGACTGAGAAAATTGCCTTTAATTCCTAATTAGCTGAGTGTTTCTTTAATCATAAAGGAGTAAACAGTTTGAGTTTTATCTATATTAATGTATGTATCTGTAGCTGATTAATTTGAAGTCATACAGTTTCAAAACAAGTACAAATAAACTGCAATGTATAAAACATACACACACACTAAAAAAAATTTTTTTTTCCTGAACATAGGCAGACAAAATAGAGTATACATTGTATGATTCCAACTATTTCAAATTCTAAAACTGGGAAGGGATTGGCATTATGGTATGGCACATTAAGCCACCATTTGTAATACTGGCATCCAACATTAGAGTACTGGTTCACATCCCAGCCACTCCACTTCCGATTCTGTTCTCTGCTTATGCACCTAAGCAAGCAGCAGAGGAAGGCCCTCGCATTTGGGTACTTGCCGTCACATGGGAGACCCAGATAGAGTTTCCAGCTTCAACCTGGCCTAGCAGGGCTGTTGAGGTCATTTGGGGAGTGAACCAAAGATCTTTGTCTCTTGGTCTCTGTCTGGAACTCTGCCTTTGAAATAAATAATCTTAAAATAAAAATAGGCGAACTAAAATATAGTGTCAAAAATCTGGCCTGTGAGGTACTGTGTGGGGAAAGACTGGAAGGAGACATGAGGACATGGCCTGGGATCGTGAGCATGGGGCATTTTACAATTTATATTTTACCTAAAAACGGGGGATGGAGGAAGGAGCCGCCAAATGTGTTTTTTGATAAACCTTGGTTGCAATGACAAACAACATGCTGGTCAAACCCAAGAGATCAAAAACCCTCCTGGCAACTGCTAAAGAACCTAATGCTCACTACAGCTCTGCAAAGATTCCATTTGGCGAGCCAATCGTCACTTTCCTGCTGCTTTTGAGAACATCTGCTGAGTGAGCATGCAGATGTAGAGGGGGGTTGCAAAGATGAGGGATTTCACCACTTCGATCTGTCGTACCTTTTACTTGAACAAAAAATTGTGTCCACCTTTTCCAAACTGGTCAGTTTGAGTGGGAAGTGCATAAATCTTGCCTAATCCCTCAAAAATGTCCATGGTCATTCATTCTTTCTTTTTTTTTTTAAGATTCATTTATTTTTATTGGAAAGGCAGATATATAGAGGAGAGAAAGATATTCTGTTGATTCACTCCGCAAGCAGCCATAACAGCCAGTGCTGAGCCGATCTGAAGCCAGGAACCCAGAGCTTCTTCTGGGTCTCCCACGTGGGGGTAGGGTCCCAAGGGTTTGGGTAGTCTTCAACTGCTTTTCCAGGCCACAAGCAGGGAGCTAGATGGGGAGTGGGGCCATCGGGATTAGAACCAGCACCCATATGGGATCCTGGCATGTGCAAGTTGAGGATTTAGCTGCTAGGCTACTACTGCACTAGGCCAAATTATTTCAAAAGAAACCCCTAAGATTCTCCTGACTGGGTTGATTAGACTGCACATACCCACTGGCCCTGGCTTTTTTGGGGTTTCTGCATAAGCACTGAGACTGAGAATACTGTGCCTTGTTTAGAGTGTAGCCTGGAATCCAGCTTATCTTGCAGTCCCTTGTTCCTACCTTGAGGTCACCTTTGGCTATCAGCGCTGAGTGGTGAGGCAGACAGGGAGAAGCGCTCCCATTTTCACTCTGAACACGACCCAGCAATCTCCTGGGGGCTAACAACTCAAAGTCCCGGGTTCCTCGGGGAGGCTCTGGTTGTCTGGGAAGTGCTATGTTCTTGAAACTTCCCAGCAGGGACTGCCTAACAGGCAGCAGGTTAAGGAGACTTGGAAGGTGCCTATTAGAGACCATCTCTCCATTTTCAGATGACTAGACAGTGACTCAAAGAATAAAGACTACTTCCAAGCAGAAGCAGCTGTTCCCAGATTTCTCTCTATAGCCCTGGCTAGTCTCCAGGCTCTTAGATACAGCGTGGTTGGCTATTTAAGGCCCAGTCCTCTAAACTCAGCCTGCTGAGTTGAACTTCCCATCCACCTGCATCACCCTGGGCTCCTCCCCTGTCCAATCCATCCAAAATACCTATTCTTCCTCGTTTTTGCTTCTGTCTTCATGGTAATCCTTTGGGTTCTTACCCCCAGGAGATCCCAAATCTGTCCCATTCAGAACCTGCTGCCTAGCCCAGCTCTCTCTTGCCAACTCCCTGTAGTCTCCTTGCTTGCTGTGCTCTCACTTAGCAGCCAAACCCATTCTTATCAGTCACTGCCCATCCATACCACTCCCCTAGAGTCCTGAGATGAAATCCAGACATATCACAGCCACAAAGCCGTGGCCCGCAGGTTGCAGCTGGGGAGCCTGGCACTCTGGTCCACAGAAGGAAATGTGTTGAAGGTCTTCAATGCTAGGGGATCCCCAAGTTCTGGTGTGGGGATCAATGGCCCTGCCTAGGCTTGGAGAAACCCTTCTCCCCTACTGCCATTAGACTTAGGCCAGGCTTTTGTCTTTCCATGTATAAGGATGTCATTGGATCAATGCACTCTAACTGCTCACTGACAGTTAACTCACCTCAGAGCTAAGAGGAAGGGGTGTACATGACAAAGCTTAGGGAAAGTCAGTCTTAGGGAAAGAAAGATCTCTGGATCTAAAATGTGCTCTTTCCATGTAACAAGCCAACAAAAAGGATTTTTTAAGCGACAGGCATAGCTGAAGAGGAAGGTTAAAAAAAATCTGTACAGTCAATGAGCAGGTGGGTCTGGAAATTCATGAGGTGGAAGTTTCTTTTGGAAGGTAGAAATACAGCGATAAGGAGAGACAGAGAAGGGTCTCCCCTCTGTGGGTACACTCCCCAAATGGCTGCAACATGCAGGAGTGGGCCAGGCAGAACCTTCTCCAGGTCTTCCATGTGGGTGCAGCGTTCCAAGTGCTTTGATGGACTGTCTTGCACTGCTTTGCTAGGATCATGAACAGGGATCTGGATCCTCAGCAGAGTACTCAGAACTTCAAGGAATCATAGCCTAACTTTCTAGGCCAGAACGCCCGCCCCCTGGTGGAGATTTCTTAATACAGAGCTTAACTGACTGTAAGATCTATTATTCTAGTTATTTAATTTCAGTAAGTCCCTGGAATTCTTATGCAAACATTCCTATTCACAAGACTAGTCACAGGCAACTGTAAGTATTAGCAGTTGGCTTTGTGCCAGCTACAGTATGGAAATCGGGAAGATGCCTTTATTGCAGTTGCAGGAAACCAGCCAGGAAGACAGATAGGGGTGGGCAGAAGAGCAGGATTCACTGAAGGGCAAATAGGCGGTACACACTCAAGACGTGAGGTGCAGGCAACCTCAAGCAGGAGCTCGGCTCCCTCACCAGCTGGGGTCATCCTTTCACAGAGGGGGAGTGGTGCCCAGAGCAGGGCCTAGCTGCAGACCCAGGCTTTGGAGTGCCTGGTGGTCTCTTGGGTGCCATGGTGTTTTTGCATAACGTAGTGAGGCTGAGCTGAACTGTAAGAATGGGTGTAGGGCGCCTTCAGCAAGGAAGATGGCAGGATCTGGGCAGTGCATGTGGCTTGGGCGCTGGCAGTGCTTGGCTCCTTAGTCCTGCCTGACTCTCTGCCTCTCCCAGTGATTACGGTGTACCCATCGGCCCCACCCTAGACCCCAAAAGACCAGGCTATACCTAAGGAGCTTCCAGAAGCTGTCCTCATGGTCAGATGTTGCCTACCTCCCTATAAGGCTCCCTCTAAATCCGGGTCATTGTAACCTTTTCCCAGACAGGACCTAACATCTGACACAGGAAGTAAGGGCGTTTTGTTTTTTGTTTTTTGAGGGAGGAGGGGCAGAGAGGAAAACCCTAGTTTGTTTAGCCCCTTTGTGGCAATTCACCCCTCTGTGAGAATGGAGCTCTGTGAGCTCTAATAGGGCACTTACCACCTGGCCTTAATGTGTCAGTGAAAGCTATGGGTTTATCTTCTCAGGAACTGCCATCCAGGCCTATCCAGGGCAGACCCGGCGTCATCACCACAGCGGGGGGGGGGGGGCCAGGCCACGTGCTGCCCCCGGGGACTGACTTCAAGCCCTGCAGTCAGCGGCCCCTCCGGTCTCCCGATGGCTGCCTACACGGAGATGCGCGTGTGCGGCTTTGAGGAGTTCAACCAGGCTGTGAAACAGCATGAGGGCAAGCCCATTTTCGTCTTCTTCGTGGGTTCCCTGGATGCGGAAGGGAAGAGTTGGTGTCCCCTCTGCGTGGAGGCCGAACCGGTCATTCGAGAGGGCCTGAAACACACTAGGAAGGAATGTGTGTTCATCTACTGCCAAATAGGAGACAAGCCTTCCTGGAGGGATCCGAATAACGACTTCAGGAGAAAGCTGAGCGTCATGTCGCTGCCGACGCTACAGAAATACGGGACACCTAGGAAGCTCGTCGACTCGGAGTGTCAGCAGGCCAACCTGGTGCAGATGTTCTTCGGGGAAGACTAATATTCTTCATTTCCTGATTTGCCCCATTTGCTTCTTCCCATGTCAGCGAGACATCAATTAAAGATATTTAAGACCCGGTGTGGCTCTAAAACAATGAAGTGTCATTTTTAAAACAACAACGAAGAATCTTTCTGCAGCGTCGAACGATCCTGCTACCGAGCCTCAGTTTCGGTGCTCCCGAGGCGTGCGTCCCTAGGACACCCCGCGCGGCGGCGGCGTGCTCCGGGAGGCCTCGCCCGGTCAGCGCCCCGTCAGGAGGAGCAAGGCCGCTCCTCCCGTCTCCTCGCGGCGGCCCGAGCAGCGAGCGGAGAGGCGGGGCACGCAGGCGCCGCGCCCTGCCATTGGCCCTGCCGGCGGGGAGGCGGGGCTCGCCGCCTTAATCCGGCCCCGCTGTGTTGTCATTAGGCGGCGGCTAGAGGACACGGTCAAGATGGCGGCGGTGCCTGGGCTGGTGCGGAGGCCCCTTCAGCAGGTAGGCACCGGCGCGAACCCACGAGGAGTCTGCACGACCCGTGCCCACCCCGCGACCCCTCTGATCGTCCTTCTCTCTTTCCACCAGGTCTCCGGGCTGCTGAAGAGACACTTTCACCGGACGGCGCCGGCGGCGCTGCAGGTAACTGGCACGGACGCGGGGTAGCGCCGGGTGGAGCACAGGCTGGCGTTGAGGGCCCTGCGGGTCTGGGAACGCGCACATCCTGCGTGGGGCTGAAGTTGATCCTGTGCCACCAGGCGTCCGGGACACCGGCATGCCACCCCCTCAGGTTGCCTGGCACCAAATGGGCACTCGGAAGAGAAGTACAGTTGACGCTACTTCCTTGACCCCTTGCCGCTTAAAACATTGTGCTAAATTACGCATAGCTCAATTTTGCTGAGGGTGCGTAGTTCCGCGGCGTTAAATGCATGCACCATTTTGTGCAGCTGTCACTTTTACCCGTTCCCAGCACTTTTCTCATCATCCCAAACAAAAACTCTGTCCATTACATAACTCCCTGTTCCCTCACCCCTGACTCATGAGTTTGCCTGTTCTAAATCTTCTTGGAAGTAAAGTCACTTGTCCTTTTGTGTTGGCTTATTTCACTTACCTGGATAAATTCCTAGTTTGTGTCTGAATGATATGGTCCATGCCATACCACACTTCAGCCTGGCCGAAACCTGGCTATTGTGGTCATCTGGGGAATAGATCAGTGCTTGGCTCTCTGTATATTTCTCTATAGCTCTACCTTTCAAGTAAATAAATAAGCTTAAAAATACTTAGCACTGCCTCGTGTCTTGGCTGTACTGGCCAATCCTCTATCTCCAAGCCCCGCACCCCATATGGGCATTGGTTTGTGTCCCGGCTGCTCCACTTCCCATCCAGTTCCATGTGTGTGGCCTTGGAAAGCAGTGGAGGATGACCAAAAGCCTCAGGACCCTGCACCCACATGATAGATCTGGAAAAGGCTCCTGGCTTCAGATTGGTTCAGCTCCAGACGTTGCAGCCAATTGAGGAATGAACCTGCAGATGGGGGATCTTCCTGTCTCTCCTCTCTGTAAATCTGCCTTTCCAATAAAAAATCTTCAAACAAACGAAAAACCTTCAGCACTTGTGCTGACACAGTGGCTCAACAGGCTAATCCTCCACCTGCCAGTGCCAGCATGCCATGTAGGCCTCAGTTCTTGTCTTGGCTGCTCTATCTCTTGTCCAGCTCCCTGCTTATGGCCTGGTAAAGCAGAAGAGGATGGTTCAAGCCTTTGGGTCCCTACCCTCATTACACCCGTGTGGGAGACTGGAAGATGCTCCTGGCTTTTGGCTTTGGATTGGCTTACTTCTAGCCATTGTCACCATTTGGGTAGTGAGTCAGCGCATGAAAGATCTCTGTGTGTTTCCTTTTCTTTGCAAATATGCATTTCAAATAAAATTTAAAAATAAATTAAAAAAAATTAGATCTTAAAGAAAAATAGCGTGGATTAGATTTCCTTCATAGTAGTCCAAGTGTGTTAACAAAGCAATCCAGTGTGTTTTCTCCTTAGGGAGCTGCCTTCAGCTGGCCACACCAATAGGCTGCTTTCCTAATCAAGGAAAGCCTATCAAATCAGTCCATTAATGAAGACCACCTTTGTATGACAGAAAACCTTACTGAATTCTTTGAACTTTTAAAGGCACGCCTGTTCCAGTGTTAGTTTTCATAGTATAAATTATAGGTTGTAGACTGCCTAGATATAAAGGAAGAAAAATTCAGGAATATCCTAAATAATTGTGTAACTTATTGACAACTTGCTCATAACTCTTGACAGGTGACAGTTCGTGATGCTATCAATCAAGGTATGGATGAGGAGCTGGAAAGAGATGAGAGGGTGTTTCTGCTCGGGGAAGAAGTTGCCCAGTATGATGGGGCATACAAGGTAACCAAAATATATGAAAGAGACACACTGAGGTGGCTGTTTGCCCCCAGATCCACTTTAAAGTAAATGAGATTACTCTTAATTGCAGGTTAGTCGGGGCCTGTGGAAGAAGTATGGCGACAAGAGGATCATAGACACGCCAATATCCGAGGTAAGCTTCCAGGAGGAAGCAGGCGCCCGCAGGGTATGTGTGTTGGTGTTCTCTCTTCTCAGCTTTACGATTTGCACTTCCTTTTCATTTTACATTACAGATGGGCTTTGCTGGAATTGCTGTGGGTGCAGCTATGGTACGTACTAGTCTCTGTGAGGCTTATCCAAAGCTACTGAATGTGACAGTTTGAAAACAGTGCCCAGTGCCTGCCGCTCTCATTTGCTGTTTCTCATCTTTAACACATGTGTTTTTGATCTGATAGGCGGGGTTGCGGCCCATTTGTGAATTTATGACCTTCAATTTCTCTATGCAAGCCATCGACCAGGTTATAAACTCAGCCGCCAAGACCTACTACATGTCAGCAGGCTTTCAGTCTGTGCCCATAGTCTTCAGGGGACCCAATGGTGCCTCGGCAGGTGTAGCTGCCCAGCACTCACAGTGCTTCGCTGCGTGGTACGGGCACTGCCCGGGCTTAAAGGTGGTCAGCCCCTGGAATTCAGAGGATGCGAAAGGACTTATAAAGTCAGCTATTCGGGACAACAACCCAGGTCAGCAGAGTGAACTGGGAGGGCTCTCTTTTAAACAATAAAAAAAACTAAACAATTTTTTTTTAAACTGAAATTTTTACAAAGAAGGAGTCTTTCAAGGTTTCTGGTTAGACTTAAACATGACTTATGTATGTGATTTGTAGATGCAGTAAAAATAGTAAAAAAAAAAAAAGTGCTGGCTTTTCTTCCAACTAGAAATGGGGCAGTTAGGGAGAGGAGACATTTAGTACACACCCACAACACTGCTTTAATCTCAGTAGGAAAAGTCTTATGTAAGTACCCAGATCATCCTCCAGACTACTGGACAGTAGAAACACAGCCTTCTTACCAGCACAGTGAAAGCTTGTAAGGTGAAAACACTGCTTGGCGTGCTCTATAGTCACTCGGGATGTAATGAATCATTTTTGTTTAAATATGTGTAATATTTTGCAGTGGTGGTACTGGAGAATGAATTGATGTATGGAGTTCCTTTTGAATTTCCTGAGGAAGCTCAATCAAAAGACTTTCTGATTCCTATTGGGAAAGCCAAAGTAGAAAGACAAGGTAAGGAAAATGTTTAAGCATTTTAAATTCATCTGTTCTATTTGTGTTGATCAGATATAATCTAGATGTTATTACCATTTAGCCATGATTAAAAAATTGCTAGTTCCAGTTAAGAATGCATGGTAGCCTGATAATCGCACACAGTATGCTTTTCTACATTTCAGTTCAGTGGACTTAACATGTTATTTCTGAGTCTATTTCATTCCTCAACTCATTGTAATGAAGTTGAGTTGAAGACTTTACACAAACAGGAATGATGCATCTTTAGTTTCAACCTGATCTTTGACCTGTGGTCACTGTGTTTCAGGGACCCATATCACCGTGGTTGCCCATTCAAGACCCGTGGGCCACTGCCTAGAAGCTGCAACGGTGCTTTCTAAAGAGGGAATTGAGTGTGAGGTAAGTGGACATTGGCCTATTACAGAACCTGCTCCTTTTAAACTGAGAATTTGCCAGGGATTGCACATCAGACACGGCAGTTACACTGCTGCTTGGGATGTCCACATTCCATACCAGAGTGCATACGTTTGCATCCTGGCTTTACCTCCCATCCAGCCTCCTGATGAGCAACCCTGGGAGGCAGCAGATAGCAGCTGAGTGCTTGGTTCCTGTTGCACACGGGGAAGACCCATGTTGAGTTGGGGCTCCCAGCTGTTGTGGATCTTTATTATGGACATTCTAGTAGATGGAAGGTCTCTGTTTCTGTCTCTGCTTTTCAAATAAGTAAAGCTCAAAATAATTAAAGCCTAAAAATGGGGGATTTTAGTCCTGTAATAGGGTAAATAGATCAATAAAATCGTGCTCAGTTCTTTTTCTACTTAAAGCCAAGAACCTGCTTCTTTGTCATATTTAGTCCTGAATCTTTGAGAATAGTACGTGCCTTCACTGTTAATCCAGCTTTGCAGCTGGCATGGTAGGGTGAAGCCATATCTAGGGACCTACCATTTATTATTTATAGTTGAACAGAACATGTAATTTACATCTGTTATATGAACTGTAAAATGGGAAAATATACTGCCTGATCACAGGGTGGCTGGAGAATTATAGTATAGTGCCCACTATGCATTAGTGATCACTTAGACAAGACCAGAGTTAAAGCCAAGGAGGATGGATGAAACTTGTAAGTGAGTGGAGCTGCTTGAACAGAATTTAATTGCTGTTTCTTTTTTTTATATTTTGTGTATTTTTATACCTGTTAGATTTTCCTAGAAACAAATATTAAAATGAAATAATAATTACAAAAAAAGTGGTATCATGTGGACAAGGCTTATGAGGGTGCTTCAGCTAGGTCATGAAAAAAATGGACCTAGAAGAACCTACTTAGGTGCAGAAATTTCTGGGACTTTTTTAAGATCCTTTTTTTATGTCTGGATTTTGGGGATTTTTCACACCAAGATAAACTTATCTTTTAATTACACTTTTGTAGATTTTTTTTGAAGTGAGCTTGTGATTTGTGAGGTAGCAGTTCCATAAAGCTTATTTGTTGGATTATCTATTTAGGTAATAAATCTGCGTACCATCAGACCAATGGACATTGAAACCATAGAAGCCAGTGTCATGAAGACAAATCATCTGGTGACCGTAGAAGGAGGCTGGCCACAGTTTGGAGTAGGAGCTGAAATTTGCGCCAGGATCATGGAAGGTAATTCAAATGAAGCCGCTTTAGAATATGGTCATAGCAAACATTGTGTACCTGAACACAGACTGTACAGGGATAAAAAGCTAGGGGTTGTTGAATGACTTGAACTTATATCCTTATTGCTAGAGAATAAATGTTTTAAAAATCAAAATCAGAACGTCTTAATAAAGTAGTACCCATTTATTCAGGCTTTCTTGTCCAGGGCAGTTCTTCGTCTTGCCACGTGGCAGTGCTCCACTGGCTTTTCCTGCCGGCCCGGGGGCCTCACTTGTGTCTTCTTTCTCCCGTAGGCCCTGCTTTCAATTTCCTAGATGCGCCTGCTGTTCGCGTCACTGGTGCCGATGTCCCTATGCCTTATGCAAAGATTCTAGAAGACAACTCAGTACCTCAGGTCAAAGACATCATATTTGCAATAAAGAAAACATTAAATGTCTAATCAGGACCTGAACAACAAGGCATTGAAATTTATTTAAAATACTTGTACTGCAAGACCTCACTGTTCATGAAGTAATCTCTACAGCAGCAACATGTGTTTTTGTACTGGGAAGCAGTTTTCATGTCTCTGTGGAAAATCCTCCCTCTTGCCCCAGACTCACGCTTGCTTCCGTCTGTTACAGTTACCTTGTTCTTGGAAGAAATATTTTGCCCTTTCTCACCAGGACAGGTACAGGTGTGTCAGTCTTAAAGATATATCCAAAATAAATAATGTATATGTATTACATAATTGTACAATCTACATTTACTGTAGGTTGTTTTAATAAGGAATAAAGAAAGTCCTAACTATGAATAGTTGTGTTTTTATAATTTTTTTTATTCTTGAAATAATTAAAATTTTAGTCTATTAAATTAGTGCCAAATAGAAGATAAGCTGAAATTACAAAACCATTGCTTGCTTGTATTCAGATTTCAAATTTTATCTCTGATAGCAAAACTGACCTCAGAATCATGGCTTTGGGCCAGTGTTATGGCATAGCAGGTTAAGTTGCTGCTGTGACACTGGCATCCTATAGCTGAGCAACAGTTTGAGTCCCAGCTACTCTACCTCTGATCCAGCTCTCTGCTACTGCACCTGGAAAAGCAGCAAAAGATGACCCAAGTGGTTGGGCCAATGCCACCCAAGAGGGAGACCAGAATGGAACTGCCTGGTTTTGGCCTGGCCCAGCCCCAACCTTTATGGCTATTTAGAGAACAAACTAGTACATGGAAGATTCTCTATCATGCTGCCTTTTTAATATAAAAAGATCCTAAAAGACATTAAAAAAAAATCATGCCTCACAGCCTCAGTTAAGGAACTAATAACCTAAGATATGTCATACTTGGAAGAACTAGTCATTTGCTTAGTTCTAATATAATTCCCCTTAAAAATGAAAGCAGGGGTCTTGGTGATGGCTGTCTAAATCTTTGCTTTGCAAGCACTGGGATCCCATATGGATGCAGGTTCATGTCCCAGCTGCTCCAATTCCCATCCAGCTCCCTGCTTATGGCCTGGCAAAACAGTTGAGGACAGCCCAAAGCCTTGGGACCCTATACCCATGTAGGAGACCTGGGAGAAGCTCCTGGCTTCTGGCTTTGGATCAGCTCAGCTCTGGTTGTTTTGGCTGCTTGAGGAGTGAAAGAGCAGGTGGATGACCTGTCTCCTGTGTATCTGACTTTACAATTTAAAAAAAAAATTACAGGAGTTGGTATTGTGGTAGAATGGATAAGACCACTGCCTGCAGCATCAGCATTCTGTATGGGCATTGGTTTGAATCCTGGATATTCCATTTCCAATCCAACTCTGCTAAGATGCACAGAAAAACAGTGCAGGACAGAATAAATGCTTAGACCCTGTGCAGGTGAAAGAGAGCCTGAAGTAGTTCCTGCCTCCTGGCTTTGACTCGACTCAATCTTGGCTGCTGTGGTCACTGAGAGGGAGTGAACAAGTGAACAGAACTATCTCTGTATCTCAGCCTTTCAAAAGAACATTTTTTTTTAAAGAGACTCACATGTACTTTTTTTTAAAGTTAAAAAGCCTGAGACCAGCATTGTGACACAATGGACTAAGGCCACCTATGACACCAACATCTCATATAAAAGCAACAACTTCAAAACCTGGCTGCTCCACTTGCAGTCCAGCTTCCAACTAATGTGCCTAGGAAAGCAGCAGAACATGGCCCATGTGCGTGGGCCCGTACATGTGGAGGACCCAGACGGAGTTGCAAGGTCCTGGCTTCAGCCCAGACCCACCTATTGTGGCCACTTGGGAAAGGAATCAGCAGATGAAAAAAATCTCTTTTTGTCTTTCCCTCTCCTTTTAACAGCCTTTCAAATATACAAGTATTGTAATAAATACATAAAAACTAAAAGACTTAAAAAAAAATGAACTTCCAGAAGCATATTGGTGGCGTCCAGTTTTAAACAGGATTGTTGGGGCAGATGTTTGGTGGTGTGGTTGGGACGTCCCGTATCCCACACAGGTCCAGGGTATAGCCAGGTACAGGTCCTAGCTTCATGTGTACTTCTGGCTTTGTGCTCATGTACACCCTGGGAGGAAATGACTCCAAGTGCTCGGGTCCTGCCACCAATGTGGGAAACCCACACTGAGTCTGGGGTTCCTGGCTTCAGCCAGGCTCTGACTCTTACAGGCTTTTGGGGAGTGAGCCAGCAAATGGAAGATCTTCTCTTTCACTCTGCCTTTCCAGTAAAGATAAATTTTTAAAGCAACTATTAGTTTTAAGAAGGAAAATACAGATAGTTAGGAATGAAACCAGAACTGTGAGAATTTACTATTTTCAATAGTGCTTCAGAGAGCTCCCATTTGAAGTATGTAACCAAGCTACAGATGAAACATGTTTTCTTGACATGGTTTCTTTTAATAAAAAATACAGCTGAACATTTGTCACAGATTACATGAAACTATACACAATGACATTCTCTGCATAGTAACCAACACTGATGTGTGTACTTGAATTTTTAAATGGATTATTTATAATCCTTTAAAGTGCAATTTATTTAAGCAAATCATAAGATAAATGATCTTTCTAATAAATGAGTGACATTAAAAAGGTGATGTTCTTGAATAAATTTTTAAAAAATCAGAACTGATTTCTGTAGATGTCTAATTGACTTGTCACAGTGACCCACAATGCCCTGACCCAAACCCCAAAGTTGATTTTATTACTGAGGATTAAAAAGATCCTCTGTAACTGGTCAGAGTTTTTTCTGATGTGAACTTTTTTTTCCGACTGTTCCAGGACATCCTAACTAAATAGAACAAGGGGTCTGGAGTAGTTACTGAGCAGCCCTGAGTTCTAGAACCTCAATGGTCTCCTGTTGGAAACTAGGAGACTCCCCGTGCTTTTTGAAAGGGTAGGACTTGACTGCTTCTCTGACTCAGCAACACAAACTATGATATGGACCACAATGTAGAAGATGAAACTGAAAAGTTGCAGAAAATAGGAGTTACCTAAGAAACAACCAGAAAATGCTTTAGAGAAGTGAACTATGAGAGGAACCTTGCTAGGAGCTGTCTGAGGGGGGAAGGGAGGGACTGTGTGTGATGCAAAGGTCATTCACTATCACCATGGTCTTTGCTTTTCTTTCCATTTACTTTTGTTGGGTGAAAATATTGATTTCAATAGTCTGCTGCCTCAAAAAGATGCCCATGAGAGGAGGAACAAGACCCCCCAGACATTGGTCATCAAGGAGCAAAAACAAACAAACAAAAAAGACTCCTTGAACAAGGCAGCAGTGCTGGACTGATGTTTTCCTTCGTGGAAAACCTCTTGGGGGAGCATCTGCCAGACAGTGCGTTCAACAACCATTCAGCCCCAAAGAGGGCACTTCAGAGTAGGGGAGTGGAAGGGAGGAAAGGAATAGTTCCCTCCAAGTGTAAACAGGAAGCTTCAGCTGATCTTCGGAGCGCTGTGGTCACAGGTCTCGGCCTTCCTCAAAGTTCCTTTTTGGAAATTTTGGATGGAACTGAGCAGGGCCCCTCGGCTCCCGCCATTCACAGCCTGGGGCAAGAGCTGTGCAGGTGTCTCTGTGCTGGCAGGAGGCAAGGGAGCTGCTGGTGGTGGCGGTGGAGGCGGCGGTGGTGGTGGTGGCAGCGGTGGAGGAGGTAATGCAGACGTTCCTACGGAGGACAGAGGGGCAGGGCCAAGTCAGCACCCACCCTGCCCACCACCCACCACTACTGCACATGCTAGTAACATCTAACAAAAGGAGCAGGTATTTCCTAATGGTTAATATGCTAATACCCCTGCATCCCCTATCACAGTTGCCTGGGTTTGATGCCCCGGCTCGGCTCCTGACTGTAACTAACTGCTAATGCAGGTCCTGGGAGGCAGTGGCGATGGTGCAAGTGACTGAGTCCTTTCCTACTCCTGTGGAAGATCTAACTGGAGTTCTTGGCACTCAGCTTCAGCCCTGGTCCAGCCCTGGGAGTTTTGGGTATTTAGAGAGTGAATCAGTGAATGGGAGCTTACTCTTTCTATGTCTCTGCCTTTCAAATAAATGAATTGAAAAAAAAAATGAACTAGATGCATCAAAGGCAAATTATTTAAAGATTGGGCCTTGCACGGTAGACTAGTGGCTAAAGTCCTTGCCTTGAACGTACCAGGATCCCATACGGATGCCAGTTCTAATCCTGGCAGTCCCGCTTCCCTTCCAGCTCCCTGCTTGTGGCCTGGGAAAGCAGTCAAGGACGGCTCAAAGCCTTGGGACCTGCACTTGAGTGGGAGACCTGGAAAAGGCTCCTGGCTCCAGATTGGTGCAGCTCCAGCTGTTGCAGCTGCTTGGAGGAGTGAACCAACAGGAGACTCTTCCTCTCTGCATCTCTGACTTGCCAATAAAAAATAAAATTAAAGTATTTAAAGGCTGCTGTTTGCCTTAAATAACAGTCATGGGAAAAAACACTTGGAACAAATATCACAGGTTATACGAAAGCACACACAGTGCTACAGCATCCGATGAAACTGACCCCATTTCCAAATCCCTGTAATGCTCCCAAAAGCTACTTTAGCCAGGTTGCAGGGAACTCTCCCAACTTCTGAGCCTGCAATTAAATGTATACATCTGTATACACAGAGTATGGTGGCTGGCAATGCCAGTTACTTAGAAGGAATACAACAGTTCTTGAGTTGCTCCAACCGCCATGGTGTCTAAAGGGTGTGATGTCATGTAAAATGACAAACTGCTTTGGATTCTCAACAAGGAACCCACTGGTGTTTGCTGGGTTATGTGTTTCCCAAGGGGAGTCTGTCTTAGGTTTTATGAAAGGAATATAAAATGTTAAGAGCGAGTAACACGAGGCAGGGGCTCCAGGGGATCACTCCCTGGCAGTGGCAGTCACAGGAACTCACAGGAACTGCAGAAGTGTCAGGAAGCTCTTGGAGGTTGGGCTGCACCCTGGCGGGCAAGGAGAAGGGTACTGGACAGGAATCTACCTACAACTGCTCTCCACTTCCAGGCACACACACCTTTGAATATATATGCTTGAATGAACAAGTGAACTGCTCTCTTGAGACAAGTATTGAATACAAGAAAGGGAAAAACAAACAAACAAAAAACCCTGCCGTGAAGAACACTCCTGTTTCATAGTGAGCTGCCCAACCCCTTGAGAACACAGCAGTTCCCAGAGACTCCCTCTGTCTGTTACTACCTCTCCCCTCTCACCCCTCCTGGAGCTACACTAGGGAGACATCCATTGTGAATGGAAAGGACGCCTGAGGGGGAGGAGCTGTTTAGCATTACCAATAAAAAAATCCAGTAAGTACATCCTTTTCACCAAGTGTGACAGACAGCAGTTAAAGTCTCACAATTCACAGAAAGCCACTTACCTTCCTTTACATCTTTTACCCAAACCTAAGGTAGCTGAAAATAAAGGACCACACAAACATACACTCACACTCATGCTGAGCAATACAAAGACTGAAAACAGACAAATGAGCAACATGTAATTTTCATTGTTTCTACACAATAAAAAATGATCATGAATGAGGTTCCATTATATTCTCTGCTAGGAGGCTCATGGGCATATGTTCCTGCCTTTAAGTCATAGAGTTATAAAGATAAAGAAGGCTGTAAACTTTTGAATTGACCACTGAGGTGAGAGAACGTGAGCGAATGACAAGTGATAGGAGCAGCTCTGGAGGAGGACTTTGGGAGAGCAACCTGTGGGATACAAGGACCTGGGAGACCTTGGCTAAGCTCCTGGAACTTGGAGTTAGTGGTTCAGCACCCAGAGGTCCTGCAGAGGTGAGTTCCGTCCACTTGGGGGCAAGGGGATGCCAATGCCTCCCAGTACACACTCCTCCCAGTGTCCAGAAAAAGGCAGCGCAATCTGGACTCACATTCAGGGCCCAGCGGGCACCATAAAGAATGCCCAGGGTTTCTGTTTCTGTTTTGTGCTTTGACCCCTGGCTGAAGAATCACTGCAGGGTTATATACCAGGAGGTGGGCTGCAGCAGCCTTGGGCTTTTATTAAAGGCATGGAACTGACTATCCAGAGACCACTACTCTTCCAGCCCAGAATTTTGGAAGGTGATACACAGGTCTGGGGAGGGGGACAGGGGATAGCTCTGGGATATAGGTTGCCATCTTGGCACAGAACAAAACTGGTTGAGCTCATGGAAACAAACCATTCACTGTGCCCTTGTGACCAACCAGACATTTGAAAATCAAAGTGCAAATGTTATCAACACAAAAATGACAAATGAGACGAATATTCAATCACACCAATCTGCTGTCACACTGAATGCCATAAATGATTATATATCACTTAAAAATTAAAATTTAAAGACAAAATGAAAGGTCCATTGGGGCTACATAACATGCTGGTAACAATGGCAATAAGAAAGGGTGGCAAACGTGAAAGAATGAGCTCCTTCACATCAAGAGGGTTCAAACAGCCCTTATACTAGGCCACAGACAGGAGTGGGCAGACTCCATGCTATCTTGATGGTTAAGAGAAACCACACAAGCACAGGGGATGCTCCAAGCCAGCTCATCTACAATTAGACCTGAACCACTGCTGATGTCTCCCATCTCACTTTCTCTTAGCCAAAAACCTCCTTCATCCTCCCCAGAATCATATCTACCAGACCCAATGGGCACCTGGCAGTCCAGTGGAGGCCCTGAAATAGAGCACAAGGCTGCTACAGCCAGAACTTGGAGTAGATCTGATGTGTATGTGTGTTAGGTGGGGGGAGACACACTGTGGCAGAAATATTCTCCACTATTTTCTGCAAAGGATGCCCAAGTGTCCCCTGTCCTTAGTCCAATTTCAACTGCGGGCTATCAGTAGAACTCCAAGCTCCTTTGTGATCCACCTATGAAGGTGGTGAGGACAAGTGGGTGCTGGATCACCCTTCAGCCACAGTGGACCCACACCTACTCTTGGGAGACTTGAGAGCATCCCGCAGCTTGAATGAGCCACTTTCACCTCAGGCAGAGGAGGCAAGGTTGTACTCATGTCCCAACCTTAGAACGATGAGGGATGCATGAGAAAGGAGCGATCCCCCATACCCCTTTGAGGTCAGCAAAGCCAGTAAGAGGTCTCCCTAGGATGGAGAATTCCTCTGCCTAACACCCTTGTCCTTCATTAGACTAAGAACCCACATGTCAGCAGCAATGACAAGACTCAGAGTCGTGGTTTCCAATATGAAGATGTGCCAAAATGCCATGCAGTTTATTCATAGACTTTGGAGCTGCACTGTGAGACTAATGATGGAGTGAAAATGAAGACTTTGAAGGTCATGATGAAAATGTAATGAATATCCATGAAGTTACTTGGGGTGCTTTTTTAAAGATGCTGTGTTTCATTGAAATATTCAGATAAGGGATCCTGTCTCAGGTCTGCCTTCCCATTTCTTTATCAAGTGATTGAGACACCCTAGTTCCTATTTCATAGGCAGAAACAGAGCATCTTTAAAGACAGAGAAATCACCATAGCTTACTTTACCGAAAATTCACGTTCAAAATGGTGCATGCTCTACTGAGAACGCAGGGAAAGAAAGAGAGAGGACACAAATCATTATTCCGATTTTGCCTCATTGAACCAAACAGTAATAGACAATAAAACATTAGTTTAAGTCATGTACCAAAGTAATTTCACTGCAAAACTAGGCTATCCTAGAATTCACTCACAAAATGCCCTGGGACCATGGGCACCATCACTACTAAACAGTCACTGTCCTCCTCACATCTTCTGGTTCCAAGGCCAGAGATTGGCTTATTTATTGGTAAGCACAAGGCTCATTTGAGAAGAACCAAGAGGGTTTCCCCAGATTGCCTGCAGCTCTTCCCAAGCAGGGACTGCCTAGGGTGGACACTCCCATCAGAAGCCCTGAGCTGCCTTCCCCGGGTCTGGAGACAGAAGTGGACAGGCAGTTTACCTACAGCTTTAAAACTGTTTAGAAAGAAAACAGCCAGGCAAACATTTCTGCCTTCTTTGAAACTTTGATCAGAATTCTGGTTAAATGGCGAATTCCAACTCTTTTTTTTTTTTTTAATTCCAACATTTCTAAGGCCTCCCCACTGCTGCTAGAAGAAACATTCCTTTCCCCCTGAGAGGTCCAGTGCAGGGTGGGGCTGACCTCTCACAGCAGGACAGCTCTGGGAGGGACAAAGGATGCTGGGAATTCCTGTGGTCCCTGTCTCCCCTTCTCTGCACTGGATCTTTTCCCTCCTGCTCTTAAATAAATCCTGCTTTGCAAACTAGAGTTGTCCACATGAAAATTCTTCTGTCCTGTGAGACAAGAAACGAGGTTGCTCTTGTGTTTCACGTTGAATTTCCTGCAACACTGTGAGAGCCTCAATTCTTCATTTCACAAATGGAACTACATAGGAGTCCACTCTCATTAAATAGGAGGGAAATCGACTATAAGCCACCTGGAGCAGTACCTGGCACAAAACAAGTGCTCAAAAGATATTACGTATGATTAGTTAAAACGACAACAACTTAGAGCCTCCTGCTTATTTTACTTTTCCAAAAATATTATTTTGCAAACCTGGCTTAAAAAAAAAAATGACAAGGCAACGGGTCTGTGTGCTTCCAAAGGGCAGAAGGAGATCAGTTTTGGGGTGTGTGTGTGTGTGTGTGTGTGTGTGTGTGTGTGTGTAACCTGGGACCTTTTAAACCTCGCAGCTCCATGTATCCAGAGCACAGGCAGTAGTCTGTGACATTTACCATGAGGTAAGTCAGGATAGAGTTTTGAAGGTGCTGAAAAAGTGACCTTCTTCAGCAGGAAACAACCTTTAGCAAGCAAAACAGAAAAAAAAAAAAAAAAGTTAGGAATGCTTTCTGCTCCCATCCCAAAAAAGTAGAGGTCTTAGCAAAAGAGCGCCCCTTGGGGATTGCCAGCAGACACAAGGAAATAGTCTTTTTTTTTTTTCACCAATTTGCTAAGAACTTCAAAGAGAGGCTCCCTCCAGGGAGCGAGCTGCAGTAAGCAAAGTGAAGGGGCCCATGAACTGTACAGTTTCTAACAAAGGCTCCCAAGGATAAGACCCCTCCAGACTTAAACATCTGTCCGCTTCTGCCCTATTCTAAAAGGAACCAACTTCAAGACAGCAGTCTATTACTCTAACCGGACTTGAAATTGATGCTTTGAGATGTCAGATGATTTTGGAGGCCCTAAGTTCTAATCCTTCCAAGGCCAAGTTGCCTGGCCTTCATTCAACCAACTTTATCTGCTGCCAGTCACTGGACATGCTGCAGCAGGAATTCGTTTCTTCACATATTTGCTGTGTCATGGACTGAGTACGATTCAATATACTCACTTCTATTATGAGGGGGGAAAAAAAGAGATACTGACCATTTAAGGGAGAAAACAGCTGCTGCTAACTGACCTTGCCTAAGCTGACCTACTGCTGTTGATCTATTGATGAGTGAAGTGCCAAAGGATGGAGTCTGTCCTGGACGTGGCCAACACTTGGTTAGAAGAAACTATGGCATGGTCCTTTCGCTCTGTGCACAGGAGGGAACACAGACCTTGCCCTCGACAATGACTTTATCAGGGTCCTGAAGGCTAAGTGCCGGGTGCCTGCCTAAGGCCCTGACACAGGCACTCGCTGCAGGCAGGCGCCAGGTGGCAGCCAGGACATAGCAGCTCTCAAGCTTAGCTCCCAGACCCCTGGTGCGGTTCTGGAGGGTTCTCAGACTGAGCTGAGAGGTTGCCTTTGGCAGGAATTCTTCACGCCACCCCTCCCTTCCAAACACAATGTCTCATCATCAAACTGGGAGAATCCATCCTTGACTTAAAAGTTGGCTTTTAGGTAAAGAGTTACCTCAGAAGTAAAGATGCTGCAGTCGACAGGATGTCAGAAGAGGGGCAGTGGGCAAAGAGATGGCAAGAAAAATGAACCCTAGGAGAAGTGGGTCTTCCTGTCCTGTGAAGAGAAATCTAAGTAGAGGCTGCCCAGCCGGAGAGGCTGTGAGCCCTGTCCTTGGCTGGCAAGGCCCTGAAGGCAGGTCCATTCTATGGGGACATCCAGGAAGATTTGCCCAGCATCTACCGCAGGTACAGTGGCATATCTGCAGGGACCTTTCCTGCTGCTGTGTACATACACTCAAGATGTGGTTTGTTGATGGGTTCATTTGTTAAGTGATCACCCTTTACTTCACAGGGCCTACAGGGAGCAGAAGGGACCAGAGCTGGACCTCATAGAAAGCCTCTGTTTGCACTGTGTTTGTCATTCTGCAGCTCCTGACAGGTGCTTAGGCCTTGTCTGATCATCTTTGTGTCCAGTGTCCAAGTATAACTGCTGGCAAGCCACAGGTCCTCGGCTAATGCATATGGAATGAGTAAGTGCATGGGTGTCCCATTTAGGACCTGTAGTGTTATCTTTCAGACAAATGCTGATGTTAGCTATCTTCCTAATGAGCTGCATTATGAGAAATGACCAGCAGAGGTCAAAGTATGTTTTCTGGGGCTGAGGCAATTCTGCCCCCAAAACGTTAAAGGAGAAAGAGAAAAGAAGTCAGTGACCCACTGGAAGCCTCTCACTCCTGCCGGGCATTGCCATGTGGGCCTCGGCCTCACAGGCGTTTTCCTTCTCATTCCCTTCAGATGGACACTGGCAAGTTCCCGGCCCTGCCCCTGCCTTCCTGTCTGCCTTCAACCAAGTTCTTCCAGTATCACCTTGGGTTACTGAAGAGTCCTCCTCTTCTTTCATCCTCACCTCATGAAGACTTGCTACTGAAGGAGACAGCTCACATGTAAAGCACAGGTAGGGAATCTCTCCCCTTCCTCCCCACCCCCAACCCAAAAGGCTAACAAGACTGTCAATTCTCCAAGGCATTTTCAGATAAAAATGGACAGATAATGACCTGGGACCACACTGGATGCATACCACTGACATGGTCTGCAACTGACACTTCATTTGTTAAAGGAGGGTCATGGGATTCCAGACATTCCCCCAGCATCCTTCACATGTCCAAGTGGGGTGATACTGTGGCACTATCTTCTGTAATATGCCTCAGCATGGTCTGGGCAGTAGATCTCCAGAAACATCCGACCAGCTTAGCCAAGTCACCTCTGCAGGAGACAGGGACATCTAGCCTCTGTCTGGATCAATGCCTGCAGTATCTACTGGCCAAGACAGACAACTACAAGAATACCATGCTCCTGAGCCAGATACTTTGCAACTCAACAGATCCTGACTCTGGAATGTTCTTCAGTAAACCACCCTCTTAAAGAGTTCAAACTAGTTCCTTTAGTGGAGGGTGCTGTGGAACAGATGAAGCTACTGTTGTTGTGGGTATTTGGGAAGTGAATCAGTGATGAACGATTGCTCCCTGTCTGTTACTCTTATAAATGTTTTAAACAGTTCCTTTGAATTTGCTTGCTGTTGGCTTCTTAAGGGGGTCAGTGAGAACACTTGGGAGCAGCTGGATAGTGCCCTTGGTAATGTCCGTGTGCCACCTTAAGCACTGACATTATCAATTCACATATCAGCACCTGCCAATAATTGTGCTTCCAAGAGCCCAACCCACAAGCTCTGAGCGGCAGAATCAGCTCCCAAGATGTCTAGAACACGTGGTTCAAGAAGTGGAAGGAAATACTAGGGTCCCAATAAGCTTTTAGGGACCAAGAAAAAAAAGGCAAAAAAGGAAAGAAGAGAGAACAGGATTATCACGCTACTCTACAGAATCACAGCTTATTGTATAAGCAGTCCCCACCATACAGTCTTTTTTTTTACATTTTTCTTACCAAACAGTTAGTATCTGATTTCATTCACAATAGTGAAACAAAGACTAAGGACACGAAAATATTCTGGTAACTGAGTGCCTCTCAGGGCAGACAGGAAGCTCAGTGGCTACCTCACCCATACACCGAGCCGTCTGAATGGTTTTGCTCTGAGCCAAACCCACACTTGCAGGTGGGCACGCTCGGTGAACAGCTCGGGCAGGACAGGGCCTGAAGGGCATGGTGTCTGTTGAGTTTGGTGAGGTATGTACCAGGCCAAGCTCTTATCTGCAGCGCCCTTCCTGCATGAGCGAGGCTTCTGAGCAGAGAGCAAGCTTAAGCAAAAGGGCGGCAGGTGGCTCTGACACTAGCCTATTCCCTGAGAACTCTGCAAGAACATCTCCTAGAGGACACAGCTCATCAGCACTCACACCGGGCACCCTTGAGAAGGCTGTGGCTAGCCACACTCCTGAAACGCATGCGCCTCAGGCTGGGCATGGGGAAGAGAAGGAAGCCTCCAACTCCAGTCGGTGGCGAGGAAGCAGCAATGTTCCCTGGACCCTTACTCACCTGCTGTAGAGGGTGGAGTCGGTGATGATGGGGATGTGAGAGGTGAGCTGGCCCCAGACCCTGCTAAGATAAAAACAAAACAAACAAAAAACAACAAAGAAACCTTTATGGGGACCAATGAAAGAGACCTGGAATTTGGAATAAGCTGGTATCCATGGTTGTCTCAGACTCTGCCCTTGGCTTTGGCACATAAAGCTGGAGAACTAGGTGAACCAGTGCCCACAGGCTTTCCACCCCCTGCCACACAGTGCAGAGCTTGCAACCCTGCCCCCGGCCACGGAAGGCTCATTGCCTTGGCTGCTCCCCACAGCTGGTCTGGTTGGAAACCAACTTTACTTTGCTCAGTCCACAGTTTATGCCATAGGGCAGCATTATTTCTTACAGACCCACTGTCCAGGCATGGGTAGTGGCAATGACAGTGACCACAAATGATACAGGGAAAGAGAGGTGCAGAGTACTTATCACTCTTCAAGGGCAGGGAGAACCTTTTTTATTATTTATTATTATTATATATATATATTTTATTATTATTATTTTATCATTATGGACATTCAATTAGAGAAGGTCAGTCTGCTCAGCATGTAGTTTTCCTATGCCTTTACAGTAAATAAATCCTTATTTATATAAAAATAATGCCTGAAATCCCATTCAGAAATTATATATTCCTTTTGTTCACTTAATGATCTACTCCTACCTGAGAGGTTCTCAAGTTCTTGGTATTTTCTCACTACAGTGAAATCCAAAAAAATACTCTCCTAGCCTGGTCTAGAAGTTCCTATACCAGCCTCACACAGGGATTTGATAATGTCACCTTCCACGCACACCCAGAGGGAGGGCTGCTGTCACTCGCTTGAGAATTCATGACCAACTGCCCCAGCTGAGCCTTCTGCTGTCCCACAGGATGTGTGGCTGCCTCATGGGTACCAAGCATGATAAGAAATGCCCTGATTAAATGACACCTGCCTCCACCTTTAGTGCCCTTCCAATACCGTAACACTCCCGTGGCTCCTCTAAAACATGAGAGGCATTTCTTGGAAGAGGAGGCAAAGTCCAAAGTGTCAGCAGAGCTGCGTAGGGAGAAGACACGCCTGTGGTTCTGGTAGGGGCTGGAAGTGGTTTGCACGCTCCCAACAATACTGCACCTGCCGAAGCTTCCAGAGAGCAGGCGCATGCCTTGGAGCCTGGAGGGCACTGGCTTTGCAGGCAGGCATCCTCTCACAAACAGGGGCAGCACAGAGTCAGGCTTTTTGCCTGAGAAAGTAGCCGCTGCATGACTGCCAAAGAGGCATGCCTGTTGGAGACATGAGTCTCCGCCTAATGATAATGCTGGATCTGTGGAGAAACTAGACTTCCAAGCTTGAACCTAACTGCCGGCCATGACACGAGCTTGCTTCGGTCCTCGCTGGGGTCTCCCATTCTGCCTCTACCTTATAGCTTTCCACAGTGGTGTCAACAGGATGTTCCCCTTCTTTGTGGAACCCAGGGACTTTCTCTGCCCACCCCACCACCTGTGGCTAGCCCAGCTCTTGGGGCTGCAGCCTAACCATGTGACACACCTCCCCGGCTCTCCTGCAGTGCCAGGCAGGCAGCCTGCCTGCAGACTGCACAGGAAGGCCCAGGTACAGCCTGGGGACACTCTCAGTGTCCTCCTTGGCTCCTGCTTTTAAACAGGCCTGCCTCTTCCCTGGGCTCCTGCTTTTAAACAGGCCTGCCTCTTCCCCTCGAGGCTGTTGGAGGGCCCTGGCTGCTTCCCCTCGGCCTTCTCACCACCTACTACTTTTGCATCTTTGGCTTCTCTGCCTTTGCTAGGACTTCCCCCTACCAAATGTCTAATTAGCTAATCCTCAACCTGGCCTCCCTATTCTCCCCCAAGACCTCCCCTTTTCAAGGCTGCTAGGACTGAGCCAAGGCTGTCAGCATAAAGAGGAAACCTTCCCTTCTCCCCATGCAACTCCACTCCACAGACTCCTCTGCTGCAAGGACAGGAAGGCCCCCAAGGATCACTCTGTGTGGCGATGATTTCCACAGAAGGTGACACTCAAACCCAAAACCAGCAAGGCAGAGCAAGGGGCAGCTGGGAGAGGCAGTAAAGGCTGCTGACAGAGGATGGTGCTCCTTTCTGAAATGACGCTTCTTGCCTACCCCACATCCCTCGAGTCCTCCCTTTCATCCACGCATGAGGGTACATCCCTCCAAGCATATGGGGACAGAGAGCAAGGTCCACAGTCATTTCTGCTCAGCAGACTCTAGCTAGCAACAGAAGGGCTAGCATTTTGAAGTTGAATCTGTGCATCTTTCATGGCTATGCCTCCTATGTCTTCAGCTGAGAGGGTGGCCACCTTGAGCACCTGACAACCTCTGTGTCCCTTTCCTGTGCCTGATGGCTGAAGGTGAATGTTGCCACGCTGCCGTGGGTGCGGGGACACTGTTCTTGTTCTCTGCGGTCATTAGCACACTGGCCAGCAGGTGCCATGACCTCTGGACTCCCTCCAATCTCCCAGGTGCCGGAGCCCCACTGCAGTCTATAAACAATTAGTTACCTGAGTTATTGGAGTTGTGCTTTGTGGACTGCTCCTCATTATTTTCAATCCCAGATCGTTTTGACTTCTTTATGAATAAAAAGTGGGGAGGGGAGAAAGAAAAAAAAAACATACACACATACATGAAGTTGGGAATTAGAATGAAACTACTTTCAAGACATACAGTCACAGACAAGGTCTTATCCAGTCTCACAACGTGAGCCGGGGAAGAAGCCACAGGCCCAGACTCCAGAGTGCTGACCTCACGGACTCAGGCAACCATTTCTTCCAGTCACAATATGCCACAAGCAAACCCAGTGAGCCAGGAAACCCCATGGTCCATTTCTCTGCTGATATTATCTGACTCCTTTTTTTAAAAGCTGCAAACTAGTCATCTGGAAATAATTTTCATTTCAAACAGCTACAGCACAAGCTCTGTCATTTAATGTGTACTATCCTGGACTGTTGTTGCAGTGCAGTGAGTTAAGCCAATGCTTATGAAGTCGGCATTCCATGCTGAACTACCGGTTCAAGCCTTGGCTGCTCTGCTTCTGATTCAGCTTCCTGCCAATGCACCTAGGAAGGCAGCAAAAGATGGCCAAATATTTGTGTCTTGCCACCCACATAGAAGACCTGGATGGAGTTCCAGGCTCCTGGCTTAGGACTGGCCCAGATCAGGCTGCTGCCACCATCTGAGCAAAAAACAAGCAGATGGAAGATCTCTCCTTCTGTCTCTCCTTTTCCCTTGACCACATTACTAAGTAAAAAATTTTTTTAAGACTTATTTATTTTCATTGGAAAGGCAGATATACAGAGAGGAGGAGAGAAAGAGAGGAAGATCTTCCATCTGATGGTTCACATTTCCCAAGTGGCTGCAACAGCTGGAGCTGCGCAAATCCGAAGCCAGGAACCTGGAGCTTCATCTGGGTCTTCCACGCAGGTGCAGGGTCCCAAGGCTTTGGGCCATCCTTGACTGCTTTCCCAGGCCACAAGCAGGGAGCTGGATGGGAACCGTGGTTGCTGAGATTAGAACCGGTGCCCATATGGGTTCCTGGTGCGTTCAAGGTGAGAACTTTAGCCGCTAGGCTATTGTGCCATGCCTGATTAAGTAAATCTTAATAAATGCATTTGGAAAATGTGCCTGGTTAACTCAGAACTCTTATCATAGGTGGTCAAGAATTCAAAGGGATGCTGGTCTCACCTTTCGTGCTAAAATCTTCCTCTTTTTCCTCTCTTCCTCAGATCCATGGTGTGACTGAGCTCTTGTCAGTCTCCGATGCTGATGAATCTTAAAAGAGATCACAAGCCACCACAAAGGTCAGCACATGCTGCGTCCAGCAGCTTCCTGCTCAAAGTCTTCTCCAGAAAGTTTTGCTGAATCAAATTAGTTAGACAAAAACAAAGAAAAACAATCTTTCCTTGCTCAGCCCTTCTCTCTCTGTCTGGGGCCTGGATATAACAGGAGAGTATGTCAGAGGCTGAGGGTCCTCCTCGCTCCCCTACTGCCTCTTGCCTTTGTTTCACAGATGAAGAGAACAGGGCAGGTATGTGCTGAGCCACCTCCACTGGGCAGGCCCTGATGACCAACACAGACCACCTGTTGTGGACATGCTCGATGTTCCCCAGCCAGAGTCCCCAAGGGCAGAAATGTGAAGCACCTGCCGCAGTGTGAGCCTGGATGCACGAGGTGTGGAGGGAGTCCGTGGTGTGCCAGAGGCCAACTGCTGCCAGCCTCGAAAGGACAGCGAACAACAATGACTAAGTTACCTGCTTCTGTTCTTCTACGAGTCTCTTCTCTATACATTCTTTGGCAATTCTCAATGCTTCTTTTAACTTGGTGGGGATCTGAAAAGATGGGAAAGCACATAACCCATTGAATAAAGTGGCTGGTGACTCTGTAAAGTCGTGGAGTCAGTGAAGGGGCAGCTGATTGCCTAGGAGGAGGTCATCTGGAATAAAGCCAGGCGCAGCTGTCCACTTGGATCCTACTCCAGCCACGTTTGGGGGGTTCAACAGGCACCTATCCAGCATGTTTTAGTAACAAACACACACAACTTAAATATGTATTCCAAATAACACAATCTTGGAAAGAGAACAACACAACTGTAGGCCTCACATTTACTGACTTTTAAACCTGTTACCTAGAAACAGTAATCAAAATCATTGTACCATTGACATAAAGACAGGCTATTGGAACAGAACAGAGGGCCTAGAACTAAACCCTTGTGTGTATGGTCAAATGCTCTTTGACCAGGGTGCCAAGAGCACAATGAGGAAAGGACAGGATGTTCAACAAAGGGCAGTAGGGAACTGGTGTTTTGGTTCAAAGGTTAAGCTGTGGCCTGTGGCATTGGCATCCCATATAATTGCCAATTCAAGCCATGGCTGTTCCACTTTCAATCCAGCTCCCTGCTAACATGCCCAGAAAGCAGCAGCAAAAACAAACAAACAAACAAACAAAATCGATTTGGTTTACCTTAAACTGTGGCTTTTCAGATGTGGTTAGTAAGACATCATTGAATAATCTGTAAAGAAAAGAAACAAATAAAAAAAGATTTTTATGAACTACTGGACTCTCAGAATAGCAGCCAAGCAGATTCTGACACCTTTGGCCTCAGCGGTCTCCCTTCCCCAGGACCCTACACCGCACCACCTCACACCGGGTGCGGGGTCAGATGCAAGCTCGGGGGTCATTTCCCCTTCATGGGCAACCTGTTTTTCTTTTTTTTTCTTTTTCCTTTTAGAGGGAGGGGAAAAAGAAAGGCTGCAAATGGTAACATCCAGAAACATTGTAAACAATTTTTGGAACACACAATACATTTTTCTCCCCCAACCCCACCCTGCCTTGTAAAACTCAAGAAAGTAAAAGTGTTCATACATATTGAAAGCAATTGTCCTGATTGCAGTCTAAGAAGAAAACCACTTTCTTGTTTCTCATATTTTATTGAAAAAATATATATATATACACATATACAGCAGGAACATTTAGAACTTTCCATTCAAAAGAATGCTATTAAACAAAACAGAGAACAGGGAACTCCTAACCCTTTTGCAGAAAACAGGTCTTAGAATTTAAACGGTTGGTTGGGTAGTGCCCCAGTGGATCATCCCCCCTCTTAGAGACAACAAATCCATCACGAGAAGAACCCACAAGCTTCTCTCCTCCAGGATGATCTGGGACTGAGCATTCCCATCTCTCCCAGAGCTTTTCTTAAGGCTGAAGCTCGCAGGGAAGAAAGAGTTGGAGGACTGGGACAAAAATCCAAGAGCTTCAAGATTAGCGGAGCATGAATGCGGCCCCCCATGTGCAGGTTGCCCCTAACCGCAGGTGCACTTTGATCTATAAGTTCCTGAGGAAATGGTTTTGCTTTCAAACTAGATCTGTCTTTCCGTGCTCACACTGTTACTAATGGGTGTGTTGGTGAAATGGCACTGCTCTGTTCATGGGACAGGGGTCTGCCTCTCCTATCTAGCACACCCCTCTCTGGTCCTAGGAGAGCCCGGAGTAGGCCCTTTTTGAAACTCCTGTGGGAGAAAACAAGTAAAGAATCCCAAGTTACCACCACCTCCTCTGAACTCTCTCATCCCAGTTTGCTCCTGCTAGACTTCCTGAGTTTACCTGTTCTTCCACAAGCTGGGATGGCCAAGGTACCTGTGTGCTACATGCCTCTTGGTGGGGGAAACTGAAGAAGCTGAATTGGCAGGAATCGGCAACAGTGTTGCGAAGTGCCTGGCACACACCAGCAATCATTTCATTCAACCATTTCAGTCACTGTCTCCCTCTTATAGTTCAGGAAACTGCTTCCAGAAAAGAGGAGACACGTTCAGGCTCCCCCCAGTGGACCTGGTGAAGCTGGCATCTACCTGCTTGTTGGTTTTTCTGGACCCCCAAACAACTGCTGCCTCTCCAGAAAGGGACAGAAAAGGCAGCTACAGGATAGGCGCCCCAAGCACCATGTCGATTGCTCCAAAAAACTACTCCTGACCCTCTAAAAGAGAATCAGCCCTAGCACAGTGCCTGGCACATGCCAGATGTCCACTCACTCTTAGTGAGAAAATGAACTGACAAAACCAGGAGAGCCCAGAAAGTCCTGGCCCTCCTTGGGGAGAGTAGCCCTTCTGAGCTCCTGTGAGCTGTGGGCTACCCAGAGCCTGGAACTGACTGGTGAGCTCAGACGAGGCCAGGAGGGAGAGCGGTTGCCACAAACACATGCATACAATGCCAACATGGTGACAGAGGAGAGGCATGCGGCAGAATGACCCTCTAGGAAAACGGTCAGGTAGGAGTAGACCAGAGCGGAGTGGTCACAGAAGGAGGAGAGCCGAACATCAGCCAGCATGAGTCACTTTGACTCTGCAGGGACAGTGCCCAAGTCTTTACTAGAGTATTAGGAGCTGGGACACAGCAGCACGGTGCTTGACATGGCCGTCACGATTACAACAACGCGCAGGAGTGACTTACGGCATCTGTAAGAGCCGGGAGACGGTGGGCATGCCATTTTTACAGGCTTCACAAGACAGCGTAGACTCCAACACGGCCACTTGAAATGAACAGATACGCATTTTAGTTCCACGGAACCATGCTGGCAAACCCACTTGGTGATGAAAAGTTTGACACTGCCTTGCAGCCACTGTCTGCAAGTTCACCAGGACAGTGTCAAAACTCCTCACACAGACAGATGGCACACGTTGGGGAGAGGAGGGCCAGCAACACTGGGGTTACCCACGACTCAGAAGAAATGCTTCAGAGACCATGTGCTGACAGAAAGCCAAAGAGATTCCAAAGATCATCTGAGACGAGTCATGGTATCATTCATAAAAGTGTTTGTTGCTATAAGGAGAAGTAAACACTACACAGGAGTACAACTCTGAATTTGAAAGACAGCTTGCTGCCTGCCTGTTTTCATCTCCAGCCAGCTGTTGCCATTTTGTCAATCTAACACTCTGGGTGCTATAAGCAAGAGCAGCCAGACTTTTCTACCCACAGCTCACTGTTCAGTTCTGGTTGTTTAAACTCAATTCAGAATAGTCTCTGGCACTGCCTGCCTTGTAGAGATTTGACCTGCATACCTCCAAGGCTCAGCAATTCAAGAGCCTCCTGCCCTCCCGTCTGCCCCACCATGAGTTCTGGGCTGAGAGTAGGGGGAATGAAAGGATTCCTGGCTGATTCCACACTGGTTCTTCCTAAAGGTACCTCCCACTGCCTGCTGGGTGCCCTTATAATCTCAGGTAATGCTGGATCCAATCGGTCTAGACATCTACACTCCCACCTGTGCCACTCTGCCTGTGCCAGGCTTCTAGTCTAGGGCTCTCTTGCACCTTGCAAGTTTCACACTAGCCTTCAGTCCTGGCACCTGTCTGAGGCCTCAAGATTGGCTTGAAGTTGCCCAACGCTGGCTCCTGCATCATACTCATGTTAACCATAGTTCTATTTCTATCCATCTGCTTTCATAAGTCTGATGCTGTTTACAGAGAATCCTCTAATGGCTTCATAGAACAAACTACCCTCTTTTTTTGTGGAAGTATAGTCAAGGAAACTACTCAAATCTGATCTATTTTTAAATAGGGGAAGATGTTGTCATACAGTGAGCTCAGCTGCTGCCTGTAATGCTGGCATTACTTATGAGCCCTGGGATTGAGACACAGCTAGCCCATGTCTCTTATAGCTCCTTGTGAATGTGTCTGGGAAGAAACTAAAGACAGTCCAAGTATCTGAGCTCCTGTCACCCACATGGGAGACCAAGCTGGAGTTCCTGACAGCCTTCTGGGGAGTGAACTAGCATAGCACATGGAAAAATCTCGTTCTTTCTGTCTTCCCCTCTCTTTCTTCGTCATTGTCTTCCAAATAAATCAATAAATCTTTAAAACACAGCAACAATAAACAGCTAAATTAGATAGAAATTTTTAGCTATGGACAACAACAACTTCTTTGGGGCTTTCCTGAACTCTGTAAGGAAGGTGAGTAGCTCAGCTGGTTAGAAGGGCCCAGAGACCCCTCCAAGCCCCATACTGACCCACAGCCATGGATGGTGCAGGAGGGAAGGAGTCTACAGGCACTGAGTCTGGTGGTCGTCCGTAAGTCATTTCATACAGTAAGTGGCCAAAGCAGTGGATGTCCACACTTTCCAAGGTCTGTGGAAGAAAGAGAGCAGTGGCATGGTCATCCTTCAGTTAAGCTTTGGGAACTCCAATGCTCTTGTTCCAGGCCTCCAATGAGAAACTACCCCTAGAACAGTCCCACACCTAACCCTTTCAGAACACTTTTGTGAGTACTCAATAAGGTCATGATGGTACCCTCTGGTGTCCTCCAGTCAATGATTCTACTGTCTCCTTGATCTAAGTGCTTGTAACTTAACCCCTGAGAAAAGCAGCAATACTCCAGGGGAGAAGCATGGCACATGGGCAAAGCCTACCCAAGAAGCCCTTCTGTGTTAAACACACATTTCAGCCATAGTCATGGGCACATCTCAGAATGAGCCTGTTGCATCAGTACATCAGTACTTCCACCACTTACATTGATTTTCCGGAACTGTGAGAAGTAAGATCGGTAGAAGGAAGGCAGACCCAGTAAGGAATTCTCAAGGTCTAGCAGCCGGCAAGTGTCTCCTTCGAGCATCACGTTGGAGGCATGAAGGTGCCCATAAGGGAATCCCTTGTCATGCAGAAACTTTAAAACCTGTTAGAAAACATGCATAGGTAACATTCTCCCTACAACGTGCTTAGGTATCCAACAGCTTCAACTCTGGGTTTTGCTTTTATGTTTGTTTATTTTTAAGGTCAATATATATTTTTAAAAGATTTATTTATTTTATTACAAAGTCAGATATACAGAGAGGAGAGAGAGGAAGATCTTCCGTCCGATCATTTACTCCCCAAGTGACCGCAACAGCTGGTGCCGCACCAATCTAAAGGCAAAAGCCAGGAGCCAGGAACTTCCTCCAGGTCTCCCACACAGGTGCAGGGCCCCAAGGCCTTGGGCCTCCTTGACTGCTTTCCCAGGCCACAAGCAGGGAGCTGGGTGGGAAGTGTAGCTGCCGGGATTAGAACCGGCGCCCATATGGGATCTTGGTGTGTTTAAGGCAAGGACTTTAGCCGCTAGAGCATTGCACCGGGCCCAAGGTCAATATATTTTTAAAGATTTAAAAAATTATTTTTATTGAAAAGGCAGCTTTACAGAGAGTAGGAGAGACAAAGAGAATGATATTTTATTCCCAATTCATTCCTCAAGTGGCTGAAATGGCCGGAGCTGAGCTGATCCAAAAGCCAAGAGGTAGGAGCTCTTCCAGGTCTCTCATGTGGGTGCAGGGTCCCAAGGCTTTGGGATATCCTCTACCTCTTTCCTAGGCCACAAGTAGGGAGCTAGATGGAAAGTGGAGCAGCCAGGATATAAGCCAGAGTCCATACGGGATCCTGGCACTTGCAAGGAGAAGACTTAGCCATTGAGCCATCACACCAGTCCCTAAGGTTAAAATATTAAAAAGAAAAAAAAAATCAAACAAGTCACTAGGGAGATTTCTAGGGAAAAAAGTCAAATCTATCGGGCCTGGCACAGCAGCCTAGCAGCTAAAGTACTTACCTTGCATGTGCCTGAATCCCATATGGGTGCCAGTTTGTATCGTGGCTGCCCCACTTTCCTCCCAGCTCCTTGCTTGTGACCTGAGAAAGTGGTGGAGAACAGCCCAAAAACTTGGGACCTTGCACCCACATGGGAGACCCAGAAGAGACTCCTGGTCTCTGGCTTTGAATTGGCTCAGCTCTGGCCATTGCAACCACGTGGGGAGTGAATCAGCAGATGGAAGGTCTTTCTCTCTGTCTCTCCTCTCTGTAAAATCTGACTTTCCAATAAAAATAAATAAATCTTAAAAAAAAGAAAAAGAGAGAGAGAAAATCCTGGCTCCTGGCTTCCACCTACCCCAGTCCTGATCACTGTAGCCATCTGAGAAGTAAGCCTGTAGTGGAAGACCTCTGTATCCCTCTTTCTCTCTCTCTCTCTCTGTAAATCTGTCTTTCAAATTAAGTAAATAAAATATTGAAAAAATTTTCGAAGGGGTCTTCAAAAAGTTCATAGAAAATGCATATTATGGAAAAATAAGCATGAACTTTAAAAATGTCTTTAAATTCCATTTGTTTGTAAGCCTTTTGAAATACCCTTGTATCATAGCACAGATACACAATTTGAAGAGCTCATACACATAACATGGGAGAGAATTACACTTATGCTGATAGGGTTGGAGATGCACAGAGAATGTGGTCTATAGCAGGGGAGGGCAATGTCTAGCCTGCAGGCTGCACAAGGCCGATGAAACCACTTGGTCTGGGCCTACCAAGGCAACCACAGGCAGGACTCAAGATTTAAAATTCAGTAACTCTAGAGCAGGCTAGTTTTTAAGTTGATCATTTTGCATGGTCCACAAATGATGTTATAAATGTAAAATGGTTCTTGGCGGAAGGAAAGAATTTCCCACTCCTGGTCTAGAGGATGACTGGGGAAAGGCTTCCACTGCTGGTTCTGTAGGGAGCCCTCTGGAATTGTGGGTGACATAACAAAACCAAACATTCTGCCATGGAGACAAAGATCAATACAAAATAACCTAACAGTTGGAAAATGCACAATAAAGTTCTTCAAAAAGCAAATACTCAATTAGTCTAATAGCAAAAGATTTTGAAAATTTTTAAAAAATAACTTAAAGTAACTTTGCATTTATTTATTTAGTTACTTTGCATTTACTTTTAAAAGTCTGTCCTTCTATTTATTTGAAAGGCACAGTGACTGATCAACAGAAATGGAGAGGAAGAAGTAAAGCAAGACAGGTCTTCCATCCACAGGTTCACCATTCCCCAAATGTACCCAACAGCTGAGAGTTGGCTGAGTCGAAGCCAGGAGGCTAGAACTCAGTCTAAGTCTCTGACATGGGTGGCACGAATTCAAATACTTGCACCATCGCTTGCTATTTCCCAGGTGCATTAGCAGAGAACTGTAATCGGGAGTCCTTCAGCTATCATCATTTGCTTCCAAGAGTAATTACCAGCAGGAAGCTGTGTGGGAAGTGAAGGTGAGATCTGACCCCAAGTACTCCAATGTGGGAAGCTGGCGGAGCAAATGAAGTGGGGGTCTAAACTTGCTGTGTCATAATGCCAGTGCCAAGCTCTCAGAAGCCTGTGCATCTAAATTATTCCCACCTTCATCTCAATTACTTGCCAAATGGTGTAAATATGACCTTGCGATATTAGTGCATACGTACTCAGACAACATTAGCAATTTTGGATATTCCCTGGGAATTTCTCCAAAAGAATTATGCAACCGTGGATGAAATTCCAATGTAATTTAAGCAAAAACTAAGTATCTCTTACCTCTAGTATTTGCCGTCCATATGTTTTTATTTGCTGGAGTTCAAGGCCCTGGATCTTTTTAGGATTGCAGTACTTTTTTAGGAATGGGTCCTTTGGTTTCGCCTTTGGGAAAAGACAGAGGACACATATGAAGGTGGCAAGGAAGCCAAAATCCGCACCCAGGCTCCCTGAGCACACTGGGCGCCACAGGGCCAAGGGTGCAGGGCTGGCCAACCCTCAAGAAGGATGTGGGTTTTCAACAACAATGTGTATTTGGTCAGGTTTCTGTCCCTCTTCTAGTCCCTCTTCCCTCTGATTTTGACATCAGCAGATTCCAACAGCTTGCATATCATTAGTACAACTTTATTAAGTACAAGACACAGACTTAAGAGAGCAGCTTACATAATGGATGTAATCATTAAATATTCAGAGGGAAAGGAACATTTTTTTTAACCATCCAGTCTTACTGCTAAAATAAAGACAAATTTTAAATAAAATCAAAACCAAAGTAAAACCTCAGGGAGTGCCCTAATTCTGGAACCTTAGGGCTAGAGCACCACACAACAGCTTTTAATGGGACTTGAGAGCTTCTTCATGTCCGTGAACTTGTGCCCCAAGTACCTTGTAGATCAGATCCTTCAAAGTTCCTTTTTCATTAAACATCCTAATTAGCAATGCTGAAGACTCACTGGCTGTGGCAAAAGTAACCCGGTAGATGTTAGGATGCTGCCAAAACAAAACAAAACAAAAATGAAATTTATACTGATTTTTTTTATAGGGACCCATCTCATTATATGGGAGCCAAAGCTGATTTAGTAATATATATAAATGTGATGACATTCCCCAGCTGCATGGTATTTTCAAGTTTTAACAAGTACTTCACCCTCCTTTAGATGTGGGGAGTGATACACACTGTGGTGACACAGGAAGTGGGTAACCCATGTGGATGTGAATGTCTCTGCTTTGGCCTGTGCAGCCTCATTGTACAGGTAAAAAGTAGAGAGAAGTCTGAGGTTTTAGAATAAAGGTTTCAATCTTCTGCCTCTGTGAATCGGTCATGAGCACAGTCAAATCTGGGAACCACCAACTTAGGACCAAGATGAACATGTCTTTGCTCACACGGCTTTCCCTAGTATTCACATTATTATTGTGGTGCCAAGTCATTGAGCACCACAGCCAGAGAACAAGCCAAAGCAGCATCTCAGCACTTTGCTGACACAGACAGCAAGAATCCCTCCTACCCGCCCACAAGTTTGCAGCACGATGATTCAGTGTCCTCACATGGAGATACTGACGTCAACCAAGGAGGGTGGGGAAAAGGCAAAGTACTTCATGTCTGGAAGCACAGTCCTCAGATAACCTGGAATTTTCGTTACACTAACAGCCTGGCTCCAGAAGTGTGCATTAGCTCAGAATAACATGCAAATTGAAACCCATGGGAGCTGGGCTATGTAGGGTATTTGGAGTCCTGGCATGTATAATGGGGGGTGGACGGGTATGCCTGGGAAAACATGTAACCCAATGCAAGGCTTCTCCCGAATATCACATTTTAATGGTTATTGTTGAGTTTTTAACCATTTTATTGAGGTAGAAATCATATACAAACAAACTTTTAAAAAGTTCATGAACGTGACGATTATGGAAAAATTATGCATGTATTTCAATTTTCTTTCATACTGAAATAAGATCATTTTTTTAATTCCAGGAGCTTCTTTTGTATCTCCCAAATGGATGGCAGGGACCCAGGTACTTGATGCCATTTTCCATTGTTTTTTCAGGACCATGAGCAGGGAGCTGGATCAGAAGTGCAGCAGCTAGAACTTGAACTGGCACCCATATGGGATGCCAGCATCACAAGCAGCAGCTTTACCATCACAACACAACACTTGCCCCTCAAGTTAAAAAAAAAAAAAGATATTCATGAAATGATTTATTTATTTATTTGATAAGCACGGAAGCAGAGACTGAGACAGAACTCCCATCTGCCAGTTTACTCAGCCACACATCTGTAACTGTTGGGGCTGGAGTCAACAGCAAGGAATTCAATCTAGGTCTCCCATGGGAGTGCCAGGTACCCAACCACTTGAATCATCACCTACTATCTCTCTGAGTGTGCACTGGCAGGAATCTGGAATCGAGGGCTCAAGCAGGGGATAGAACATTGGTACTCAAACAGAGTAGACGGGTATCCTACCCAGCACCTTAATTGCTAAGCCACACACCTGTCCCGATTCAGTAGCTTACAGTATATTAACATTAACAAGGTTATGTAACCATTACACAATTTAAACTGAACACTTTATCTTCACAGAAAAAAATTCAATAAATAACTACAAAATTCTTGGTTCCAAACTAATGTAAACAAAGAGCAAAGAAGGGAAGCTCCTCCTTATGGTAGAATACCAATGAATAGATACAGAAAGAACAATGGAGTTACAAAATCATGTTGTCGGGAGGTGTTTGGCACAGTAGTTAGGATGTCCACATCCCACATTCCAGTGTCTGAGTTTAAGCCTTGGTTCACCTTACAGTTCCACCTACCTGCTAACACACGCTCTAAGCACAGGCAATGACTCAGTACTCGGATTCCTTCTGCCCAGAGAGACCTGGACTGAATTCCTGGTTCCTAGCTTCGGCTTGACCCAGCCCCAGCTAACATAGGTATTTTAGGAGTAAACCAGAAGATTCAAGATCTCTCTCTCTCTCTTTCTTCCTCCCTGCTCTTTCAAATAAATAACTATAATTTTTTTTTAAAAAAAGACAAGTACATGGAATACTTAAACCAGGTTTCACAAAAACAAGATTTATATAATTGCAAAATACTTCCCTACATATCACCTATTCTTTATTTTTTTTAAATTTTTATTGGAAAATCACAATTACAAAGAAAAGGAAAGACAGAGAGAAAGATCTTCCATCTACTGATTCACTCCCTAAGTGGTTGCAATGGCCGGAACTAAGCCAATCTGAAGCCAGGAACCAGGAGCTTCTTCTTGTCTCCAACACAGGTTCAGGGTCCCAAAGCTTTGGGCCACCCTCTATCGCTTTTTCAGGCCACAGGCAGGGAGCAGGAAGGGAAATGGAGCACCCAGGATATGAACCGGTGCCCATATGGGATCCCAGGCATGCAAGGCAAGGACTTTAGTCACTAGGCTACTGTGGTGGGCCCTATTCTTTTTTGTGAAGCCATTAAGAATGGTTGTAGTTGTTTAGCTAAAATTGCTTGTTAAAAAAAACCAGTAAGAGCAAAAAATTGGAGGTGTTGGGGCCAGAGTTATGGCACAGCCAATTAAATTGCCTCATGATGCTGACATCCCATACTGGAATATCAGTTCAAATCCCTGTTGTTGTACTTCCAGTGTGTCTGGAAAGACAGAAGAAAATGGCCAAAGTACTCGGGCTGTTCTCCTCCATGCAGGAGACCCTGACAGAGCTCCAGGTTCCTGTCTTTGGCCTGGCCCAGTCCAGTTATTGACTGCAGCCATCTGGGAAGTGACTCAATAGACATAAAATTTCTCTCTCTCTGCTTTTCAAACAAATAAAATAAATTTTAAAAGTTGGAGGTAACCCAAATATCTAGTAATTCAGCTGAAAAACTAAGGTAGAGGCAATAATCACTCTTTGCAGTCAGTACTGGTAATGTCAGTTTATAAAGACACATCATTAGTTAAAGATACACCATTAGTTAAAACAAGTTTTAAAATAATACACAGCAGCTGGCATTATAGTATAGAGAATTAAGCTGCTCCTGAAGCATCAGCATCCCATATAAGCATCAGTTTGAGTAGTGACTACTCCACTTGCAATCCAGCTCTTTGCCCATGTGCCTGGGAAGGCAGTGGAAGATGGCTCAAGTGCTTGGGACACTGCACACATGTGGAGGATTGGGTAGAAGCCCTGGCTCTTGGCTTCTTCTTGGTCCTGGCCAGTGCAGTCATCTGGGGAGTGAATTAATGGATATCAGACCTCTCTGTTTCTCTCTCTCTGCCTATAATTGCTTCTTTTAAATAAATAAATTGTTTTTTTTAATGAAGCAATAATTTTTTATTTATTTTTATTGGAAAGGTGGACATACAGAGGAGGAGAGAGAGAGGAAGATCTTCCGTCCAATGATTCACTCCCCAAGTGACGGCAAGGGCCGGAGCTGAGCCATTCTGAAGCCAGAAGCCAGGAGTTCTTCCGATCACCCGCGCAGGTGCAGGGTCCCAAGGCATTGGGCCCTCCTCAACAGCTTTCCCAGGCCACAAGCAGGAAGCTGGATGGGAAGCAGGGCCACCGGGACCAGAACTGGAGACCATTTGGGATCCCAGCAAGTACAAGGCAAGGACTTTAACCACTATGCTATCGTGCCAGGCCCTACACATAATTTTTTAAAACAATCATATAAACAAATGGTAACTGAATATTTTGGTTCATAGTCACTGTTGGTTGGGATTATAAGTGAATTTTATTTTCTTATGTTTATTTACTTGTATCTTGTCATTTAAAAAAATTTGTATGTGCCACTTGCTTCCTGCCCCACAGACACTGGAGGGAAAATGACAACATTTATCTTAGCCACTTTCTCCCCTATTCTGATCCTCCCCATCCTAATCACAGACCTACATAAGACCACAAACCCCTCAACTTTTTAATAAATATTAAAATTAAATTTTAAAAATATGTAACACTTATATATGTACCATCTCTTTTTAAAAGGCACATGAAAGCAAATTTAGAGCAGATAACAGCCTGGGTCACACAAACCACCAAACTCAAAGGCCACAGCACATTTGTGGCCACATGTTGGATCTCATCAAAAGCTTACTTTTGCTGCCTTGACAAGACAGTCTCACCTTAAAAATGAACTTGTCAAGCGAAGTAAACAAGTCAGAACAACTGTGCTCAGTCCACAGGTGACACATTCTAGGGCTCTGTATCTTCATGCAGATAAGAACATCAAAACTAACTCAGTCCCTTGAACATACTTTTGAAAGGCTTTGTGTTAAAATTGTGAATTAACATAAATGTGGCCAGCTACCACTGAAAGTCAGTTAGCCTTTGAGAGCAGGAACCTGGACAGCAAAATGGCTGTTTTGCTTTTGTTTCAACTGGATTATTAAATCCATATTAGTTCTGTTCACCCAGGCTACAAATAATTCTTTTAATACTATTGATCTAAACACCCTCACCAGGAACAAGAGGTTCAAAGAAGTGGCTGCTTTGGGTCTGGTACAAAGGCTTAGTGAATAAATCCTCACCTTGCAAGAGCTGGGATCCCATACGGATACCAGTTTGTGAGCTGCTCCGCTTCCCATCCAGCTCCCTGCTTGTGCCCTGGGAAAGCAGTAGAGGACGACCCATAGCCTTGGGACCCAACACCTGTATAGGAGACTTGGAAAAACTCCTGATTCCTGGCTTTGGACCAGCTTAGCTCTGGCCACTGTGGCCACTTAGGGAGTGAACCAGTGGATGGAAGATCATTCTCTCTGTCTCACCTTTCTGTAAAATCCACTTTTCTAACAAAAATAAAATAAATCTTAAAAAAAAAAACCCTCTAATTAGTTACGCCTCACTGGGGCATTGGGGATTTCTCTGCACACCCATCCTAAAAAATGTTCTGTACCTAAACTGATGATAAACAGCTAAATACTAAAATAAAAAGACAAGACAGCTGAATAGTAATCTATAGCCATTTTGAGGTGTATGGAATCCAGTTGAATAAAAAATAAAAATTGAAATGTGTATGAGGAAGTCACAGGATATAGTTAAGAACCCACATTTTCCTATTAACGTATTGTTAATCAATACCATGTCAATTAATGCCATAAGGTTGTAAATGGTTGTTGATGTTATGTTGGAGCTTCTAATTGATTGGGATGGTACTTTGCCAGCTTTACCTTCAGACCAGAGATGGTCTCACCAAGAAATCATTGAACCCACTAGGTTAATAAGATGCTGGACTTTATGCTTGGTAAATACTTCCATTGAAAGAACCTCAACTGAATTTGAACTGTGGTGATGCAGCAAGGTGGAGAAATCCACCATGGGGAGAGGGTTCAGGGAGGGGTGGGGGGAATCCCAGTGCCTTTAACATTGTGTCACATAATGCAATAAAATTAATTTTAAAAAAATCAATTCAAAATCAGCTTTTCTGTAACACCTGGACTGTTTTAGAATTATCTCTTTTCTCTTTCAAATAAATATTATAACACATTTAAAAAAAAACCCTCTATTTCAATGCTCATGTTTCTTGGTTTGTAGAGATGTCATGCACATCTTTACAAACGGCCCTTGACCTACAACTTCAACCTGAACGGAAATCCAGTATAGCTGTCCACTCGCTTGAGTCTATAGATTATTCCCAACTGTTCTGTCCATGTCACCGCCAAAACAAAACAAAATAAAACAACTCCACCATGAATCTGTGATTAGAGAAAAACAGAAGGATTTGTACTCACCAAACAGGAAGGCAGAAGTTTGATGAGACACTGGAAATCTTTATCTGACAAGTACTTGTCCGGGCCAAGGTCAGCCTGGGAACATTGGTGCAAGTATCAGGGTACTGCTGGGCTTTCAGAAGAAAAACTCCTTCTACGTCTTTCCCCTTAGTTTTTACTTGTCCAAATACAATGACTGCAAACCACACTTAGTCTTACTGCCTCCAGGCCTTTCTGGAGAGGGTGGTATGTAAACACAGGGATACCAGGACTTAACTTGACCTCATTCCATTAACAAAATGTATTCTAGAACTTCAAAGAGACAAAATAAAGTCATACTTGAGTGTTTTCTTTGGAAGCATACTCCAAAACTATCAACCCTAAAGAGATTCCAGAGAGTTTCAGCTGTTCTCATATCTTTCCAAATATTTACTAGTTAGATAAACATAAATAAAGCCATATATAACCAAAATGTATAGTGAAATAACTTAAACAACTCTGCTTTGATATGGGACTGAGCAGATTTTTCTGTGGTTCCTTAACAGCCCAGCACAATTCTGATTCTCTGGTCAACTCTGCTGTTGTAAATGGACAGTTTACGACAGTTCTTGGGAAGGGAGTGAAGTGAAACAAACTGACTCACCCAGCTTAACACGAGCCGCTCTTTTGGCTGATTTTTAATCTTCATCAAGAAATATTTTTTCCTTATCCTCCATCCTGCCATAAAAACAAAGATGTGTTTACAGATGCATGATTTTTTTTTTTTTTTTGCACAATTGACATAAGATTTCATGGGCAAATAACAAGCTAGCTTTGGCAATACTATCCACAGCTCTATAGAACCAGCAAGACAATCATTGATAATGTTGATACGGGAAAGGGTACAATGAAAGAAGGCAGCAAACACAAAACAAAAGGAAAACAGTGTTCCATATTGAAATCAATGAAAAGCTGAGATGAAAGACGAACAGTGGTTCTCAAAGTTATTTCTACCCAAGCTCTCTGATGGGGCCCTAGCTGAAGTTCACTGAGTATTAAAACTTAAGGGCTGAATCTTCGAGTAGTAGGCAGGAAGGAAGTACAAGAGCTTTCTTGGGATCCACAGGGAAAGTATGGCAAGAACCCTGTTATGTGATAAACGTGCTGGTCTCTCACCTATGTCTTTCAACGGTTCTACAACCTCCCACTTTGGTTCTGACCGGAAGAACATGGAAACATGTTGTAAGGCAATCTCTGCAAAGACATTTTAGAAACTCATTAGTCACACAACTTTACAAAGAGCCATTTATTTACTATGATTATTACTCCTGCAAATGAAATCCTGACAGTCTATGACCTCCTTAAAAAACTGAATTTTACAAAAAACAAAAAAAAAAACCAAAAACCAAAAAACTCAGACAAGATGAAATAGATCAGATCCTGGAACAGAAAAAGAACATTTGTGGAAAAACTGCTGTAATCTCAGTACAACCTCCATTTGACAGTAACATATTAACATCCATTTCTTAGTTTCTAGGTTTGCCATAGTTACATAAGACATTAACATTAGAGAAAATTGGGAGAGGGTATATGGAAACTATACTTTCTCTGCCACTTCTCTGTAAATTTAAATTTATTGCAAAACGAAGCTTTATTAAGGAAAAAAAAAACTACTAATGATGTGAAAATATACATTGTGAAACTAGAAAATCTAAAGTATACCAAACTAGTTGGCGTAAGCCAAGAATTCAATTTACACACCAGATCATGACCCATATTGTCTGGGCCAATTTGGAATAGCATTTGGTGTCACACCAAGTGATACTTATCCCCTTTTCATTCCACATGGAGGAACTGCTTTCAATCAAACAAAGAAGCGATTAGTCTTAAATATATATTGGAAACAAAGGCCAGTGTTTTTGAAAAACATCTATGGAGAGCAACAACACAGTTTTATTGTGGGAAGTCACCATGTGATCGCTTGCTGGAAAAAAAAGCACATCCTTCTTTTGTGTCCTTTTGTCATGATAATATTTCCCCCTCTAGGAAGACAATGACAAAAGGAAGTTTCTTAGAATTATGACATTATCAGGAAAACTGAGCTTCTTATATTTCCTCTAAGCAGCAGCACCAGTATTTTGTTGTTTCTCCCTCAACCCAGTGAGTACAGCGAGCCACTGTGGCTTCCTTAACGCAAACAGCGCTAACAACAAGTGCATGGGGACATTTCACCTCCACCTGCCATACATTCTATTCCAGGGCAAAGTGGAGAGGTAGGGCAGGTTTTGCTAGTGTTCTCCACGCGTCTGGAACTTGGAATGAATGTGCCAGGAGCTTGGTTACAATAACATTTTGATGTATTTTACAATCCATGATGAGTTTAGAGATTCAGGGACAAAACAAACCCGACTAGCTATTTGTTTAGTCATTCAACATGTAACATCTACTCAAAACGGAAACACGTGACAATCAAGTGCAAACTTGGCTCCACTGACATCTGCTCTGACCCTAGGTGTCTAAGGAGCCATTTGGGGAAGGACTGGGCCTAGCAGAGGAATATCACGTACATTACCAATGTTGGGAACACTGAATCTCTTCTATGATGAATGCTGATACCAAATGTTTTTCTTATTTCCAAACTTCATGATAATCAATCCTGAACAAAGAGAAAACTCAATGACTGGCCCCAGTGCAGGAGCCTACTGGCTAAAGTCCTCGCCTTGCATTCATCAGAATCCCATTTGGGCACAGGTTCATATCCCAGCTGCTCTACTTCCCTTCCAACTCCCTGCTCGTGGCCCAAGAAAGTAGTAGAGGACAACCCATAGTGTTGTGGCCCTGCACTCGTGTGGGAGACCCAGAAGAAGCTCTTGGTTACTGGCTTCGGATAAGTTCAGCTCCAACCACTGTGGCCACTTGAAGAGTGAACCAGAGGATGGAGGATCTTTATGTCTATGCTTATCTCTGTAGATTGGACTGGTGCTGTGATATAGCTGATTCAAGTCCTAGCTGCTCTGCTTTCAATCCAGTTCCCTGCTAATGAACCTGGGAAAGCAGCAGAGGATGACCAAGTACTTGGCTGCCTGGATGGAGTTGCCACATTCCTGGCTTCAGCCTGGCCCAGCCTCAGCCATTACAGCTTTTTTAAGAGTGACCCAAAAGGGCCCGGCGCGGTGGCGCAAGTGGTTAAGGTCCTCGCCTTGCACGCCCGGGATCCCATATGGGCGCCGGTTCTAATCCCGGCAGCCCCGCTTCCCTTCCAGCTCCCTGCCTGTGGCCCGGGAAAGCAGTCGAGGACGGCCCAAAGCTTTGGGACCCTGCACCCGCGTGGGAGACCCGGAAGAGGCTCCTGGCTTTGGATCGGCATAGTATCGGCCGTTGCGCCAAACACATGGGCCATCTTCCACTGCTTTCCCACACCATTGTCAGGGAGCTGGATCAGAAGTGGAGTACCAGGACACACACCAGAACCCACATGAGATGTCCATATTGCAGGCTTTACTCGCTACGCCTCAATGTTGGTCCTTAAAAAGTATTTTAAGTGAAAATTGTTTCCATCCACAAGCAGCAGGACCACGAAAAGTCATGCCCTGATGTGGGGCACTGTTCCTCAGAGCCTGTGAAAGACAGCCATTCACAACTAATCATCATTCCCCACAAAGCCACAGCTCAGCTGCAGGGCTGCACACTATGGGGCACCAATGGGCCATTTCACAAACTGAAAGCTATCAGTAAGCATAGGGAATAAGCTGCATTTGCTATTGAAAAATAGAGTACTGGGAAACAGTCTTTTTTTTTTTTTTTCAACCTTAAGGATAGGGCCTTGGAGCAGGAACATTTTTTTTCCAGTGAACTATGACTGTTGGTCAAACCACATGACTACCAGGCCCCAGTATTACTCCCCTTTGTCCCCAGGATCTGGTGACATGCTGCAATCACAAACGTCCACGTCTCTCTTAGCCTTTCCTGGCTCCTCGCTTTTTTATGAACTGAAGACCAATTTTTCCTTCTCTTCGTTAAAAAATGACTTTCCTTAAAAAGAAAAATGTACTTAATTATGTTACTTGAAAGGCAGAGTTATGGAGTAGTGGGAGGAAACAGGAAGAGAGAGGGAGAGAGATGTTCTGTGCACTGGTTTACGTCCCTATCTGAAATAGTCAAGGAAGATGATAAACGTAAGATCAAAAATAACCATATAGACATCACAACGTCTGTATTGTTCCATGCAGATGTGACAAAAAGCTGGAAGTAAATGATTTTTCTATTAGAAACCTACAGTAATTTGTGATCACCTAAGTCTCAGCACCAGAACACCACAAAGGCACCAATATGTCTGTTCTCTCGTGTGGAAGCAGAGTTCCCACCACTGCTGTCTGCAGCAATAGGCAGTGCTCAGCCACAGGACTCCAGGCACACACCCAACTGGCTTACCAGTGTAGTTTGCGGAATAGTTGTTGGGATCTAAAAACTTCTTAACCAGTTCACAATTCGACAAGATGTGGTTTGTGGTGATGACGTTGAGATAGTTCTGCAGACCCTTCTGTCTCGCAGCGATGAACTCACGGTCCATGTTACCAATCAGCTTTTTGGGAGGAAGAGGTAGACTTAGGCCTGCAATCTAAAAAAGAAAAGGAATAAGCATTATATTCATGTCAGCCACAAATAGGATCCCTTCTCAGAAGCCTAAGCTGTTGCACTGGGTAAACCCCAACACAGCAAGTTTTTTTAAAAAATTTATTTGTTTTGGAAATAAATTTGCAGATTTAGAGAGAAAGGAAACAGAGAAAAATCTTCCATCTGCTGGTTTATTCCCCAAATGGCCACAATGGCTGGAACTGAGTCGATCTGAAGCCAGGAGCCAGGAACTTCTTCCAGGTCCTAAGGCTTTGGGCCGTCCTTGACTGTTTTCCCATGGCACAAGCAGGAAGCTGGATGGGAAGTGGAGCATCCAGGACACAAACTGGGGCCCTTTTGGGGCCCAGTGTGATGGCTCAGAGGTTAAATCCTTGCCTTGCATATGCCAGGATCCCATATGGGCACCAATCCATATCCTGGCTGCCCCACTTCCCATCCAGCTCCCTGCCTGTGGCATGGGAAAGCAGTCGAGGATGGCCCAAAGCTTTGGGACCCTGCACCCAAGTGGGAGACCTGGAAGCAGCTCCTGGCTCCTGGCTTTGGATTGGCTCAGCTCTGGCTGCTGTGGCCACTTGGGGAGTGAACCAGCAGATAGAAAATCTTTCTGTCTTTCCTTCTCTTCATAAATCAGGTCTGCCTTTCCAATAAAAATAATACTTTTTTTTTTCTATTGGCAGTCTTATGACATTCCACCCTCACCAAGATGACATATCCATCATCTGGGAACAGTCACATTCAGCTTTTAGCTGATATTTTGGCTTTGGAGAACACTCACTTTGTTTATCTTGATTTTTCCCTTTTTAGGTATTATCTGTAAACCTTCTATTATGAAGGGAAAGGATTAAGCATCCAGTCCCATACCTTTTATCACTCCTATATCTTGACCCCAGTCGTCCCAACATTGTTTGGTAATTTTATTTAGCTCACTATTCATTTTAACAGTAGGCAAATGGTAGTCACAGCACTGCTCAAGAACCACACCTACTTTTCCAACAACTTGTGGTCTCTTTTTTTCCCACTTTCTATTCAACTCCAAAGGCTGCACCAGTTTTACACACTATACCACAGCCCTGTCCACAAAGGTTTTATCTTTATCTTTCAACTCTTCTAGAGTCTTTACTTCTGGCATTATCTTTCTTTTCATAAGTACTCTTCTTGTTTTTTTAATGTCATCCAAGTGTAACATAATTTTTTAAAATCTCTCTGAGCTGATAAAAGCTAGCTTTTCTGAAGTGCCTGGAACATTCTTCCTCCTGCATTCCTTTCTGCTTCATGAAGGTTCCTTTGTTTCCTTTTCGGTTGAGGGTAAGCGTCAAGAGGACAAAAATGACCTATCTGTGTCTTTCCATGTGTCATCTCCACGTTAACAGAGCTTCTTAGAGGCTGAGAAGGGTCAACGGAACCTTGGAGAACCAGGTTTTGGGGATAATGCCAGGTCTACTTTCTGCCAGGAGTGACGGGGAGATAGTGGGATCTGAGCAGAGCAACTCAGCGAAAACAGAAGAGTCCCACAAAACAATTCTGCAGCAAAAAATCTCAGACAGCCCTTTTCACATATGAGGACAGAGAAGACACAGGACCATCTTAGCAGGAGATGGAGAAAAGGAAGGAAAATAACTTACCAGAGCCCAATATTGAATACAGAGAAAAAATAAAAGGCAACTAAAATATTTTTAGGAGCTGAACGGATCAGTCACAGAGCCCTTAAATTAAACTCCAGTACAAGTTATTTAAATAGCAGCCCTTCTAAAGAGCAGCTATTTACAAGTTATGTAAATAGCAAACAAACATGGTACCCTTTAGAGGTCTGGGGCTCTTGGCTGCTGGCCCCTGAGCGGGGTGCCAAGAGATGCTCCCGAGCTCCGGCTAAGCAACTTGGGCTTTCTACTGCAGCTTCCATTTCTCAGGACCAACCTTGACCTCCTTCCTCTGAGGCTGGGCAGATCCCCCAAGCAAATAAAGCTCCATTTCCTGCAGGACGGTGCAGGCCTGACTGCCAGAACCCCAGACAGTGAGCAGCAGCAGCAGCGGAAGGATGGACGCTCATGTATGTCACATGCATGTCTTCAAGCATGCCTGCAACTCTCAGTCTAAACACTGTGTTACCGGTTCCAGAGAGTAAATAACCAGGTCTTTGCTGGGGGGGCGGGAGGACAGGCTTAAGCTGCTCAAACATAGAAGACTAAGGATTTGACTATTTTTCCTTCTCTGATTTATTGATGCATTTATTTATCTGACAGAAACCATCTATCTGCTGGTTCATCCCCAAAATGTTTACAATGACCAGGCATTTAGGCTAAACCAGGAGCTGGGAACCATACAGGTCTCTCACCCATGAGTAACAGGGAGCCAATGACCGGAGCCATTATCTGCTGCCACACAGTGTCCGCCAGAGCAGAAAGCTAGGCCTGGAAGCAGAGCTGAGATTCAAACCCAGGTGTTCCTAACTGGGACACAGACATTGCAACCCCTAAGTCAAAGGTCTACCTGCTTGCCCCTGGTGGCTTTTTGTTTTCCTTGTTTGTTTTAAAGGTCAGTTTGAAAGGCAGAATGGAGAGAGAGAACGAACGAACAAGCGTGAGTTTTCATCAACTGGTTCACTCCCAAAATGGTTGCAACAGCCAGGACTGGGCTGGGCCAAAGCCAGCAGCCAGGAACACTAACTATCCTGATATCCCAACACAGGTAGCAGGAACTCAAGTACTGGGGCTTTCTTCCATTGTCTTTCCAGGTGCACAGTTGGAGTGCTGCATATGAAGTGGAAGAGACAGGATTTGAATGGATATTCTGATCGGGGATGCCCCGAGTTAGAAGCGGATGCTGACGCTCCCTGGCCTCCATGCCAGCTGCTCAAACAGACTTGAAACTCCTGGTATTACCTCAACCTTCATCTCCCTCCAATCTTGGGATCCAGTGAGATTATCTGCTACCCATACTGCCTTAGTTAGCTTTCTTCCACTGAGTTTTCAGCTTACAGTGTTTTTGCTGTGGTTTTTCTCTGATATTCTTTTTGTCCTTGATGTTATGCACATGTAAGATTAATTTATTTTTTTGCTTGGAGTGGTTTTGGGAAGGAGATAAAATACATGTGTTCCATTTACTATCATTTTCCAGATCATTTAAAGCTTTATAGAGCTACTTTTTAATAAAGCTTAAAAAACAAAGCATGAAGTTGGCATCTGAATTTAGTGAGGAAAGTCACTTTCAAGCAGTAGCACCATTTTACTCGGGTTGCTATTAGAACAGTCCACGTGGCGTGTGTATTGATCGAGGCGAGGTCTCAAGAGGAGCGTATGTAGACTTCAGGACAAGGGGGAAATCTATACCACTGACCTATATGGCTCCACCGATGATGCAGCCAAGTGAAGGCCTTGAACTGGATAACCTAAAACAAGATGAAAAGCCTAGCTGACCATCCTAAATTGTCTTTCTCCAGCATAATTATGAAACCAAGTCAGAGCACACTTAGAGTGGAATTTTCTACAGTGAATCTATTTGCTGCGAGATACTTTTCGTAAATTTCATGTTGTTTTCTTCATGCATTTGATTAACACTCTGCCTAACAGTTTCTTTACTAACAAAGAAAGTATATCTCTCAGTAACCACCTATCCAAACCATTTTCTGTTTGGGGCCATAACAAGGATAATTTATTATCTAAAAATGTATAACTATTGGGCCTGGCAGCATGGCCTAGTGGCTTAAGTCCTCCCCTTGAATGCGCCCGGGATCCCTTATGGGCTCCGGTTCTAATCCCGTCAGCTCCACTTCCCATCCAGCTCCCTGCTTGTGGCCTAGGAAAGCAGTCGAGGATGGCCCAAAGCCTTGGGACCCTGCACCCATGTGGGAGACCTGGAAGAAGTTCCTGGATCCTGGCTTCGGATTGGCATAGCATTGGCTGTTGCACTCACTTGGGGAGTGAATCATCGGATGGAAGATCTTCCTCTCTTTCTCTCCTCCTCTCTGTATATCTGACTTTCCAATAAATAAATAAATCTTTTTAAAAAATGTATAACTATTTTATGAAGTTGTAGAATATAATTTCATTTATTTGTGTGTGTGTACATGCACAAGAGATATGTTTATATGGGAGAAAGGTGTCATAAAAAGATTCATATCAACTGCATAATTAACAGCAGCTACCTCTGGGAGCATGCTACTAAATTAATTTTATTACTCCTCTATGAAATAGTTACAATGCTCAATGCTCTTTAAAATGAAAGAAAATCCTTTTTGTTTATCAAGCTGTCTATGCAGCAAGTATAAAAAATAATATTAACTGATATGAATTAAGTAGCCTGCACTACCTGCACAACAGCAGATGAAATTAAATCCAAGGGTAATGTCTGACATCATCATATTTAAACCCCAATATTCTAGCTCTTTTTTCTTATGCGGTGGAGATGGGAGAATAAATTTGATACAGTGCCTGGAATCCAGTCCTGCCTCTGTCCCAGCAGATGATGGTTCAAGTACTGAGTCCCTCACCCTTGTAGGATGCCCTGTGATTGTGAACATCTGGGGGAATGAATCAACAAATGGAAGATGTCTGTCTGCCTGCCTGTCTCTGTCACTCTGCCTTCCAAATAAATAAAAATGACTAAAGAAACAGTTAGAAAAAACAAATATAAATCACCAGGCAAAACAGAGCCCTCCGGCCAAAAGCTGCAGACCGAAACATTGCAGGTGCTCTTTCTGCCCTAGTTTAAGCCCTCATAAGTGTTCTAAAAGTGCTAAACTTATGCAACGTGTGTTATTTTTAAACCCTGCCTTTTAACAAAGATAAGCATTCAAGAGATATTTATTTTCAAAGTGTTCTCCTAGAATTTCTAAAATGTGTACCAATCACAAGACACAAAATGTAGAACACCAGGACTAGTTAGAAGGGAGGGGCAAAAGTCTCCTGGCACGTAGGGTGATGAGTCCGGCAAGGCCCTGATTTCCTAGACATCTCCACACCGACAGCTCCAAGCCAGGGCCGCTCATCACCTTTCCCTACCTCAGCCCTTTAATGTGCCCTGTGGGTTCCCTTCTTGAGTCCTTACTGAGGAGAAAGCAAGAGGCCAGCAAGGAATGCAGCCTGGCAGTGACAATGTGAGGGACAGATGATCTCGAACGTGTGTCCTCATCTGCTCTGCTGTCCTGCGAGAGGCCTCTAAGTGACGTGACCAACTGGATCGTGCTACAAGGAAACCAGCATTCGTCTGGTGGAGAAAGCCTTTCAGGACAACCTGCTCACCCCTCCCCTCACTTAGTCTTCATCTCATCTATTTTAATAACCTGCAAATGATCTTCAACCAACTTCTGGTCGATATTCTAGAGAGTTATGAGTGCTCAACAGACCCTTAACTTGTCCCAGTTTTCTTCCAACGCACAGTAAAGTCTCTGCTAGGTCAACCATGGACAGTAAAATCAGAAACACAAAACTTCTGTGCTGTGAGAGATCTGAGAACTCGCCTGACTCACTCCCTTGAGACAGGAAGTGAGGCCCCTACAAGAAATGACCTGGCCATGGGGGCTCCACTCCAAGCGCGGGGCATACCTTTACTGCGCAGCTTTCATCAATTCAACCACCTGCTTCTTTCTCGATCTTCACTGTATGCAGTCTCCATGGATGATCTTAATTATTATGACAAAATAAGTCCACCATGAAAATTTTGAGAAATATAGCTCCTAAAATTTTATTTCTACTTATCTAGTTTACACGGGTTTGTTTGTACAGAACTTGTAAAGTACAGGACAGTTAAAAATTTATTTATTTTTCAGGCCCGGCACGATGGCGCAATGGTTAAGGTCTTTACCTTGCACGCCCGGGATCCCATATGGATGCCGGTTCTATCCCGGCAGCCCCGCTTCCCATCCAGCTCCCTGCCTGTGGCCGGGAAGGCAGTCGAGGATGGCCCAAGGCTTTGGGACCCTGCACCCACGTGGGAGACCCAGAAGAAGTTCCTGGATCCAGAAGATCCAGTTCCTGGATCCTGGCTTCGGCCGTTGCGCTCACTTGGGGAGTGAATCATCGGACGGAAGATCTTCCTCTCTGTCTCTCCTCTCTGTATATCCGCCTTTCCAATAAAAAAAATAATAAAAATAAATCTTTAAAAAAAATTTATTTATTTTTATCAAAAAGGTAGATTTACAGAGAGGAGACAGAAACAAAAATCTTCCGCCTGCTGGTTCACTGCCCAAATGGCCACAAAGGCTGGAGTGAGTCGATCCTAAGGGTATCCCACATAGGTACAGGGTCCCAAGGCTTTAGTCTGTTCTCTACTGCTTTCCCAGGCCACAAAGAGGGAGTTGGATGGAAGTAGAGCAGCTGGGATGCAAACCTGCATCCATATGGGATCCTAGCATATGCAAGGTGACGATTTAGCTACTGGGCTATCACACCGGACCCAGGACAGTATAAAGAACCAGAAAATAACAAAGCCCATGATCCCATCACCTGGGGATTGTCGTTGTTAGTATTTTGGCATGCTGCCTTCCAATTTTTTACCCTAAACATTTTGTGTTTATAATTTTGCATTCTGCTTTCCCTCCCCTCCCAAGTGGGGCACGTTCCTATTGGATTGACAAATGTGCATACAGGTATTATATTTCTCTTTTTCAGCAGGAACTCATTTGTCTGTCAAAAGGGTAATCAGACACTGAAGATTATGGTCACAGTTTTACTCTGTGGTTTCGGAGTCTTTTTGGTCTGCCTTATGGAGGCTGTTTTGAAATTATTTTCTTGCCAAAAGCTTTCTTCTGTTTGTTTACTTGGATCCAGAAAAACCTCCCACTGAAGCAATGTCTGGCCATGTTCTGCCCAACGCAAGCCAACATCAATACATGTGCATATTTGCATTTGAAATAAGATGCATACAGCAAGTGCCCATTTTAAAAGGGGAAATCACACTGAGGCAAAAATAAAACTGTATTATAATAAAAGGCCATCACCAAAAAAAAAAAAAAAAAAAAGGCCCAGTATGGTAGCCTGGTGGCTAAAATCCTTGCCTTACACATGCCAAGATCCCATATGGGCGCCGATTTGTGTCCTGGCAGGCTTACTTCCCATCAAGCTCCCTGTTTGTGGCCTGCGAAAGCAGTTGAGAATGACCCAAATCCTTGGGACCCTACACCCACATGGGAGACGCGGAAGAGGCTCCTGGCGCCTAACTTTTGGATCAGATCAGCTCCAGCCAGGCCACTGTAGCTACTTGGGGAGTAAATCAGCGATGGAAGATCTTGCTCTCTGCCTTTCCAATTAAAAAAAAAAAAAAAAAAAGCTATCATTGCAAAGCCATGGCGATTCAAAACCTATGTCCCCAAAGAGCGAGCAAGTGGAGACTGGCGCAATGGCTCAGTAACTAATCCTCACCTTATATGTGCCGGGATCCCATATGGGCACTGGTTCATGTCCTGACAGCTCCACTTCCCATCCAGCTCCCTGCTTGTGGCCTGGGAAAGCCGTCGAGGATGGCCCAAAGCCTTGGGACCCTGCACCCATGTGGGAGACCTGGAATAGGCTCCTGGCTTCAGATTGGCTCAGCTCTGGCCATCACGGCCACTTGGGGACTGAGCCAATGGATGGAAGATCTTTCTCTCTGTATCTCCTTCTCTCTGTAGCTCTGTCACTCCAATAAATAAATAAATCTAAAAAAAAAAAAAAAAAAAGGAAGAAGAAGGAAAAGAAAGAAAAAGAAAGCAAGTAGGAGCTAAAACTTTCCTCCCCATACCTACTGAAAGGCACTTGGCCTAGAAAATGGCAATTTCAGACTTGTTTTTTCCAGGAGTCTGACTCAGCACTGGCTAGCTGGCTATAAAGGTGTGCACACACAGTAGGCCCAGTGTTAGCTTCCAGATACTCACATCACTACAGAAATGTCACATGGGCCACTGCATGAGAAGAGAAAATTGATTTGTTGCAATAAGCTGTACATGATGCCTCACCTATTGTGTCACCACAGGTTTAGCTTTATTGTAAGTACAAATAACAGGTTATTAACATTCACAAGTGAACCCAGTTAGATCCTTCACTAAGGGGAATCTGATCTCTTCCAATCTTCTGGAGATTTAAAATTGATCATATTGAAATTAAAACACGATGGCATGATGGGCTAAGTCACTATCTGAAATATCTATATCTCATGTCCTCCATTTTTTTTTAAAGATTTATTTTTTTATTATTTTTTCATTGGAAAGGCAGATATACAGAGAGGAGAGACAGAGAGGAAGATCTTCCGTCCGATGATTCACTCCCCAAGTGAGCGCAACGGGCCGATACCATGCCGATCTGAATACCAGTAGCCTCTTTCCGGGTCTCCCACGCGGGTGCAGGTTCCCAAGGCTTTGGGCTCTCCTTGACTGCTTCCCGGGCCACAGGCAGGGAGCTGGAAGGGAAGCGGGGCTGCCGGGATTAGAACCGGCGCCCATATGGGATCCCGGGCGTGCAAGGGGAGGACCTTTAACCACTTGCGCCACCGCGCCGGGCCCATGTCCTCCATTTTTAATCCAGCTCCCTGCTAAGGCACTTGTGAAGCAGCAAAAGACAGTTCATGTACTTGGGTCCCTACCACCCATGAGGGAAACCTGGATGGAGTTCTTGGCTTTAGGCTTTTGGGAGCATAAACCAGCAAATGGAAGATTGTTCTTTGTTTCTCTCTCTCTCTTAGTCTGCCTTTTAAATAAATAAATCTTAAAAATAAAAGAGACAAGACACAAATACTCAGACCAATTCTTTCAGAAGAAAAATACGGCATTTGTGTTTCTGGTAGCATCATCATCAACAATGTGAAGGGAAGTCTGAGCTCTCTTTTCCCAAGTCTGATCAATCAAATGTGGCCTACTGAGCGAAACACTGTGCTCCCTTCCAGCCAGCATACCTGTGACTGCCATGAACCAGACCAGAGGTCTCTCTGAAGGGCTGATGGCTAGCTCACCCAGGACGGGAGCAGCACTTAGCTCCTGGCAGAGCTGGTCAGCTGGAAAGGGTTTTAGGTCACCGCTCAAATCTCAGGCACAGCACAATTCACACCACTGCAGGTTGGTCTGCCATGGAAAGACCTGAGCGGTGTGGCCAGCTCTTGGAAACATGGCGAAGGCCCTCTGGGACCCTTCATGACTGCCTGCTTCTAGAAGAAGGCTCTGAAGCTCACCTGGCTCCCATTGTGGCCACCAAGTCAGGAATGTTCAAATTAAAGGGATATAGAAAAACATGAAAGGGCTTCAAAATGCACATTATCCTTGCATTTAATCTTTTCACGAACTTCCTGAAGACTTCCCATATTCAACAGAAAACAACTAAACCGAAGAGGCTGAGTTTCCACAGTTGCTGTTGAACAAGGACTGGCACTGCTAACCCCATGGCTGAGTTCCGTGGAGAATCTGAGAGTCTAAGGACAGGCTGTGTCAGCAATCTAGGATTGCTGTCAGGACACACTCTGGCACAAAGGGACTTGGGGACAAGATGACTGACTGATAAATTATAAATCACAAGTTTGCTCTTAAAAGTTTAATTTCAGAGTCATATATCATCTGTTAAAAGTGTGAATCATTCTTCGTCACCAGAGAAATTTGCTGCTATCTTGTTTCCGATATCCTTGTTCCCAAGGCACCCCAAGCAATCAGCAACATGCACCACTGGAGTTCCAAGACATTTACCTGCAAGCTGTTGTTCAGCAAATCAAAGTCACTGTATCTTCTAACAATCTGTAAGAGACAAGACAGTACTGTTTTGAGTCAGCAAAGACACTTTCTTTCCAATTCTTTCCTGCTGACCCTCTGGAAGTGAGGTGCTGGGTTAAGGGTGAGAGGGATTGTAAGTGCTGCTCAGCTGTTTAACAGGCCCATGACAGAGTGGGCTAGGCTATAAAAAACAGGTTAATTTCAGCCAAAGCCATGGGACACCAAGTGGTTTTATAAAAATATGTCTTTTCAGGATAAAGAGCCCTTACATTTTTCTTATTAACCAGGTGCCTAGAATAATGAATAATGATTTGTACACACATACACACAAAGACTACTAAGCAGGAATCAAACAAAAGTATTGAGTTTTGAGACAAGTTTCTCCTCGTCCTGGCTACAACTCTCACGGGTTGAGATCCCACCACCCAGAGTCCTGGATTACTCCTGTAGGCAGGCTGCCACATCTCCGCCTGATTGTCCAAGCATCTTCCCCTATACTGTGGTTATCTACACATTCCTCCTCAGTTATGCTGATTCCAGGGAGTCTTCCAGCTCTTCAGGCTCTGAGCAAGCGCATGACTGTGCTTCTGAACAGTGTGCCTTTGACCTTCGTCAGTGAGTCCCCAAAGTTACTCTGCCGGAGACTTATCCGGAGATCCTCTAGGACCCCACCCAAAGAGCAGTTCAGTAAGTCCAGGCCCAAGACTCGCTTTTTGCCATGTGACCCCTGGGCTTCTAACACAGTTTTTGGACTTAGAAATTTTCCTCAAGGCTTGATTTTTCTGCTAAGACATTCTTGTTGGTCTTGTCTGCCAATCATATACCAAAAAACCTGAATATAAAACATGCCAAGCAAGAGAGAAGCAGCTAAAAGTTAATACATAGTGGTTAACCATGAAGAACATTTGACTACCAGTCCTGTTCAGCCAGTGGGGTGGGCGTGACCTCAGACAAGCCAGTTAACCTTCTGGAGCTAAAATGGGGATACAATGACTGCATAGCACTTGTTTCCAAGGATCAAGTGAATGAATGCGTTTGAGTCAGTTCTGAACACTTGGTAAGCGCTCCAGAGATGTTGGACATAATAATCATTTAAACAGAAAGCAGCTTGAGATTTCAGACAAAATGCCAAATGCAGGCCACTGTGGTCAAAAACTGCGGATGGTGGCAGGTAAGGTTCAAGTTGGGCTCTGAAGGATAAGACAAAACTTTGGAAGCGGGAGGAGTGATGATCATAATGACCACAACTGGAGAGAGATGGCTCCCCACGGCTCTCAGCAAACTGGGTGGGAAGGTGCCCTGGATCTTGCTCTCAAGTCTTCTATTTCTGAGGCCACTGCCATGGAAAGCAGCATGTGACACCCCAGAAGTCCATCTGAGAGAGACAGACAGTGAGGGAGCCAGCACCCCAAGTTGCCCGTGTGTGGATGTCAATGAGATTTGGTACAGTAGCCGGGACAGCGTGTCGCCTTTGTACGTGTAGGTTTGGCTTGAACTCCAAGCTCATGCACTTAGACCGTGGCTGTGGGGAAGGAAGTTAGAGACACTGCTTGCTCTGGGTTAAGCTGGAGAACGAATTCCTAGACAACTTCCATGACAACATCACACACAGTTTTCTCAAACACCTGGGAACAGTTTTAAAGTCTTTTGTAATGCTTGTCTTAAAGCTAAAGATTAATAGCTGAAAGCAAAATATATAATTTATATGTATTTACATTCTGAATTTTCTAAATATTCCCTAAAGTTTGGGTTTTGGTCACAAAATTAAGCATTTTTCTAATTGTTGAAGAAAAAAAATTGCTTACCTGCCAGCTATTTTCTACAGAAATTCCTCTTTGCACCCGAATGATATATTCCTTAGAAAAAAAAAAAAAAAGAAAAAAGAGCTTCAGTTACAAAGTCAAAAAATTAAATAAGTAAAAATATTAGGTATACTTCAGATTAAGCAGCCCTAACCTGAAAATCTGAAATGAAAAGTAATAAAAAATAAACTTATTGAGCACTTACATTATTTGGGAGATATTTCAGAATAAATATTATATATATATATATACACATACATATATAGTATATATTATTTTTATTGGAAAGGCAGATTTAGAAAGGAGAGAAAGATCTTACATCCATTGGTTCACTCCCCAATGACTGCAACGGCTGGAGCTATGCCGATCTTAAGGGAGGAGCCAGGGGCTTCTCCCGGGTCTCCCACATGGGTGTGGGGTCCCAAGGCTTTGGGCTGTCCTCGACTGCTTTCCCAGGACACAAGCAGGGAGCTGGATGGGAAGTGAAGCAGCCAGGACAAGAACTGGCACCCATAAGGGATACCTTGCTTGGAAGGCAAGGATTAGTCGGTTGAGCCAATAGGCCAGCCCTATTTCAAATTTTAATACCTCAGATTAGGGATGCTCAACTGGCAAAGTCTACAAATTCTGGAAACCTGAAAAAACCCAAATACAAAGCATGTCTGGTACTAAGCATTTTGGAAAAGGGATACAAATACCTAGGGTATTTCATCAAGACAAAAACAACACACCCAGAAGAAAGCAATCTTAGATGTGCATGCACCAAACAGTGCGGCTGTGACATATATACAGCAAGTCAACGGAGCTGAATGAAGAAACAGACAAATCCAAATTATAGTTGAAGACTTCAACTTCCCTCTCTCAGTAATTGATAGAACACCTAAATAGAATAGAAATTTCAATAATACCATGGGTCAACAGGACTTAATTAACACTTATTGAGTACTCCTGCTTTAAAACTGAACATACAATACAGACCAATTTAGAGCATACTCTGAGTCATCAAGCATGCCTCAACAAATCTGAAAGAATTGAAATTTTATGAACAAGAAATGAACAAAAATATAACAGGAAAATTAAGTAACACACTTGTAAATAATCCATAGATCAAAGACAAAAACATATCAAGGAAACTAAAAATAATAATAACGATGATGATGATACCATTGGATTGAAAGAAAACAGCGTTGGGGATAAGAACATGATACCCTAGAACACAGGGGCCTGGCATGCCAGACACTCAGACCAGAAGGAAAGGAGCTCAGAAGCAGACCTTTAGGACCTTCCTCTGCCCATCTTTCTCATGCTCCTCTTCCTTCCCCTCTTTCCCCAGGTAGGTTAGAGACATTTGAATTCCTTTTCTTCAAGGCTGGTCAAAGACACTGCAGTCATAAAGCCTGGGAATATGACCTTGGCCTTCCCATGACTTTCTGTGTGAGAACCGTCCATAAAGGAGTTGACCCAGCTGGTCTGTTAGAGGCCCTCATTCCGGAAGGGTTCCTGCCCCACACCTAGGGCGAAGAGGCACCTCACAGAGTATGAGAAAAGTCTGACAGTGCGTGCAGGCTGGCGCCTTGCTGTACGCATGGGTCTTCTATCCAGTCACATTTCTCTGTGACTGTTCATTCTTTATCAAATCCAAGCACAGAAGTAGTTTTCCCTGAGACCTCGGGGTTTTGTTTCTGAAACCTAAAACTTGATTAAAAGTGCTTCCCTTCTGCTCACCTCTGCTTTACTGCAGACTCAGCCAGGAGCCCCGGGGAGGGAAGGGGAAACCGACCCTCGCCTACAGCAGCGAGCTCAAGCCGGTGAGCTAATGCGGGCTGACAGCGCTACGCAGTCTTGGTACAAGGAGGAAGAGTTTCAATCAATCACAGAAGCTCGCTCGCACGAGGACCTAGAACAGCACTAAATGGCCTTTCATAAAAAGAGGAAGAAACTCAGATCAATCACGGAAGCTCACTTTCTCAAGGACCTAGAAAAAGAACCTAATAAACTGCAAGGACTAAGCAAGGACACAGACACAAGTACAAGCAGAAATCAATAAAAATGAAGGAAGTTTTTAGAGAAAAACATGAAATGAAAAGCTGATTCTTTGAAAAGATACAAGTTACTAGGATCAGGAATAAAACAGTGCATGCTTCACACTCTGCTGACACCAAAAGGACGAGGAAGTGCTATGAACAAATCCAACACAGATGAGACGGGTCATTTCTTCACAATAACACTAAGTGCCACAGCTCAGCCATTTCAAAACAAATAATCTGACTAATTCTGTAACTATTAAAACACTGAATTCAGGGGGTTTGGTCTTGTGGTCCAGTGAGTGAAGTTGCCATCTGTGATGGCTGACATCCCATAGGAGCACCAGTTTGGCCTGGCTGCTCTGCTTCCAGTCCAGCTCCCTGCTAATATGCCTGTGAAAGCAACAGAGAATAGCTCAAATACATAAGTCCCTGATACCCTGGAGTTCCGGGCTCCCGGCTTCAACCTGGCCCACTGGAAAGAAGATCTTTGTTCATTCTGACTCTTCCCAAACTGTCTTTTGAGTAAATAAACAGATCTTTAAAAAAAATTAATTCCTGGTCCTGGCACAGTAGCTTAGTGGCTAAAGTTCTCATTTTACACACTCAGGAATCCCATATGGGTGCCAGTTCTAATCCCAATGGCCCTGCTTCCTATCCAGCTCCCTGCTTGTGGCCTGGGAAAGCAGTTGAAGACAGACCAAGGTCTTGGAAACCTCCACTCGCACGAGAGATCCAGAGGAGGCTCCTGGCTCCTGGCTTTGGATTGACTCAGCTCCAGCCATTGTGGCCTCTTGGGAAGTGAAGCAACAGATGGAAGATCTTCCTCTCTGTTTCTCCTCCTCTCTGTATATCTGCCTTTCCAATAAAAATAAATAAATCTTTTAAAAAATTAATTGCTAATTTAAAAACTTCCTCCAAAAAAAAAAAAAGAGAACAGGTCCAAATATTTTACTGTAGAATTCTACCAAATGTTTATGGAATAACACTAATTTCTTTTTTTTTTTCTGGTTCTTTTCTTTTTATTCTCCTGGTCTGATTGTGCGTGTGTGTTTGTGTGGGGTAGAATAATTCTACAACTTTTCCTGTAAATAGAAGTATTATCCTGACCAAAAAAACAAAGAAGAGAACTACAAAGCAATATCATTCATAGGCATAGTCTTGAAAATCCTTACCAAAATATTTTGGCAAACAGAATTTAGCATCAGAAAAATGGGAACAATTCTCCCTCAGGAATTGCCCACAGGGATAGCTGAGTGTTTCTTTAAACTCTTTACATAAATCCTGATCTCATTCTTGTACTTTACCTATGTCTGCTTTGAATTCATCTGTCGTGCTAAGAAATCAGAATAAATCTAGCTGGTGATCCTATACCATGGCATATTTATATGCTAGCAAGAACACATAGACACTGAAATAACAAATATGTTATCACTCATAAATAATCAAAAAATCTTTTAAGTACAAATCTAAAACATGCATAGGACTTATATATTGAAAACAACAAAACACCAAAGAAAGAAATCAAAGTTCTAAAAAAAAATCTTCAAAATTTAAAACTATTAATAAAAAAATTAAAAATGAAAGAAATGAAAAATAATAAAAAACAAAATTAAAACTATTGTTTTACGAAAGAATCAACTTACCAGCTTAAAAAATAATACAATCCAGTTAGAAAATGGTGAAAATCAAGAAAAGATATTTTGTAGAAACAAGATGGCAGAATGGGGTGAGAACACATTGAAGCAGATGCAGAATATTTAGCCGTGGTGAAGCAGAGAGGCTTTAATCCCAGAAAACAGGCGAGGCTAGGCCAACTGCATAATGACACCTGGAGCCCCATGGACATGAGCAAGCACAGGGTTATAAAACTGACATTTCAAAACTGATCTGTGTAATGTGGCAAATCTCTTAAGCAATATGCTAATGCAGTTCCTTCTGAATACATAAAGTTAAAATGCTGAAAGTTGTCTGACAGTCTAATTAACATTTGGGAATCAGTCTTGTGGCTTTGAAATAGATACTCTTCTTAAGATTGTTTACTGCCAAAATTCGTGCCCTTACATTCTTATAGCAGAGTTGTAAATTAGCATGCATAATCGAGGAATTCCAGTCTGCTACATATGTGCTTCAGTTTGGGTATCACTTTTTCTTAGGCCATATTTTAGAGTCTTGGCCTAAGAGCAGAGACTTAATCTGACTGTGCTGCCTGAAGGGGATGGGGGCTTTGGGAAGGAATTAGCAATGGAGACTGGGCTGCCAGGATGCAGCACCATGACTGGATCACGACAGAGCCAGGAGCAGCGTGTGTCCCTCTTTGCTTCGTAACTTGCCTTGGGATTGCTCCTCCACACACACTCCGCCAGTGCCAAGCCTCCACCCTCCCCACTAATGGGCTGCCTGGTATTACACTGAATGCCCAACACCACGGGCTGCAGTGAACTCTCCTTTCTCCGTCTTTGCTATGATGACGAGCTGAGAAATACTACATGGGTGATTTTTTTTTCACCTAACGTAGGAATAAAATGTTAAATCTCAAGCAAAACAAACAAACAAAAAATATTGTAGACATCCTTGCCTTCACAGAGCAGAAGAATAATCCGACATTTAAAAATTATGTCTCAGGCCTGGCACAGTAGCCTAGTGGCTAAAGTCCTCACCTTGCATGCCGGTTCAAGCCCCAGCTGCTCCACTTCCCATCCAGACCCAGCTCCCTGCTTGTGGTCTGGGAAAGCAGCTAAGGATGGCTCAAGCTTTGGCACCCTGCACCCACCTGGGAGACCTGGAGGAAACTCCTGGCTCCTGGCTTTGGATTGACTCAGCTCTGGCCATTGTGGCCACTTGGGGAGTGAATCAGTGGACTCAGGACCTTCCTCTCTGTCTCTCCACCTCTCTGTATATCTGACTTTTCAATAAAAATAAATAAATCTTTAAAAAAATTTTCATCTCAAAGTCAGACAGCTAGTAGGTAATAAGGAAGCATGTGCTGATCGCTTTACCTACTTTGGCTCTCAATTTGGTAACTGTTCT